TTCATCATCAACATCATCATAATCATCAGCATCATCATCATGTGACCTCAGCCTGCCACTTCTCATCCTCATCCTGCCCCAACCCCTCCTCATGATCTGCATCATCCTCGTCCTTCGGACCCCCCCCCCCCACGAGTCATCATCCTGCTATTCCTCCTCGTCCTCCTGCGCCTCCTCATCATCAGCATCCTCCTCATCGTCGTGGGCACCGTCGTCGTCACTAGCATCATCATCATCATCATCATCATCATCATCTCATAACATCGCATCATCATCATCAGCCAGCATCCTGTTCATCATCAATCTCATCAGCATCATAATTCCTAATCATCATCGTCAGCATCAACATCAAAACATCACCCTCAGCATCATCATGATCATCAGGAATCATCATACTCATCACCACCGCCCACCACCACCACCGCCATCATCACTCATCAATCATCCTCATCATCATCTTCATTCATCATCCAACATCTTCATCATCAGCAGCAGCATCATCATCATAATCATCATCAGCATCTATCACACCGCAACAATCACTTCGCCATCACCATAGCCATCGTGATCTCAGCATCATCAAAAATCTCCACATATCAGCATCCTATCATCTCATCGTCATCATCAGCATCATCATCGTCATTCATTATCAGCTCCAATCGATGAATCACTCACTCAGTCACAACTGCGACTCGTCACTCATCACCATCATCGTCATCCCTGGACCACCACCACCAATACAATCATCATCATCATCATCATCATCATCATCATCAGCATCATCTTCATCGTCATCATCATCACCATCATCATCATCATCATCATCAGCATCATCATCATCATCATCATCATCATCATCATCATCATCATCATCATCATTATCATCATCATCAGCATCATCATGTGACCTCAGCCTGCCACTTCTCGTCCTCGTCCTGCCCCAACCCCTCCTCATGATCTGCATCATCCTCGTCCTTCGGACCCCCCCCCGAGTCATCATCCTGCTATTCCTCCTCGTCCTCCTGCTCCTCCTCATCATCAGCATCCTCATCATCGTCGTGGGCACCGTCGTCGTCATTAGCATCATCATCATCATCATCAGCATCATGTTCATCATCATCATCATCATCATCATCATCATCATCAGCATCATCGTCAGCATCAACATCATCATCATCACCCTCATCATCATCACCACCGCCACCACCACCACCGCCATCATCATCATCATCATCATCATCATCATCATCAGCATCGTCATCATCATCAGCATCATCAGCAGCAACATCATCATCAGCAGCAGCATCATCAGCAGCATCAGCATCATCAGAATCATCATCATCACCATCACCATCGCCAGCGTCATCATCATCAGCATCATCAGCATCATCGTAATCATCATCATCATCATCGCCATCGTCATCATCAGAATCATCATCAGCATGGTCGTCGTGGTCATCGTCATCGTCATTGTCATCATTACCCTCATCATCACGATCACCATCAACATCAACATAATCATCACTAGCAGGCGTTACAGCATCAGAACTAAGATGATCACCAACAGCAGCATCATCATGACCAACATCATGTTTGTCATCATCGGATGCAGCAGCAGCAGCATCATCCTCGTCCTCTCTGCCCCTCCTCCCTTCCTCCTCATTCTGTTTACCCTCCTCCCCCGCCTCTCTGCCACTGCTCCTCCTCCTCCTCCTCCTCCTGCTCCTCCTCTTCCCGCTCTTTCTCCCTGTCAAATCTTTCCTCCTCCTCCTCCTTCTCATCATCATCATCAGAATCATCATCATAATCATCATCATCAGCAGCAGCAGCATCACCATCCTGCCCTTCCTCCCTCTCCTCCTTTCCCTCCTCCTCCTCCTGCTCCTCCTCCTGCTCCTCCTCCTCCCCATCATAGTCATCATCAGCAGCAGCACCACCACCGCCACAACCAGTATCATCATAATCAATGTTCCTCCTCCTCCTCCTCCTCGACCTCCTTCCCGTCGCGAGCCTCTCCCGCACCGTTGAGGGACACCAGGAGGGCAGACGAGGCCTCCTCGGGGACGTCGGTGTGGCGAGCTGCCGCGAAGCCGATCCTGTATGCAGGCGAGGAAGAGGAGGGTAAGGAAAAGGAGAAGGATGAGAAGGAGGAAGGGGGGAGGAGGAGGAGGAGGAGGAGGAGGAGGACGACACGTGTAAACCCAGCACGCATCAACGATGTTGCAATACACCCTCCCTTCAAGCTCCCTCTTCACGGGTCCATGCAAAGAATTCAATGCCACTGCGGCGATGCGCCATTGGAAGACAACCGTCTGTCTGAGAATCCCCAATCCGACAGGGCACCACTGGGCGCCGGGCCAGCAGCTGCAGCCCCCGCGTCGGGCACTCCGACCGCCGCCGATGCCGCCGCGATGCCGCGCCTGGTGCCGCAGCGAGGGCGCCTGCCGCTGCCGCCCCCGCCTCGGGCGCGCCCTCCGGTCGGGCGCCGCCACCGGCGCACCTCCGCCGACGAGGCCGGCCCCGGTGGCCGCCGGCGGGCGTGCAGGTCGGCAGCGAGGGGAGCCCGCGCCCCCGCGCCGACCGCGGCCCCCCGCCGGCAGCGGCGGCGCCACCAGAGCCGCGCACCACGGCACGCGCCCCGAGGCGGAGCGCGGCCAGCTCGGGCACGCTCGGGCACCACTGGACGGCCGCAGGCGGCGGCGCACACGCGCATGCTGACCGAGGCGTCGGGCACGACGAGGGGCGGCGTCCTCGCGGCGCCCCCTCCCGGCCGGCACGGCGGCGGCGCGGAAGGGGCCAGGCACCAGCGAGCCCAACCACGCAGGCGCCGCGCACCCCCACGGCGCCAGAGGCCCGCAGAGCCTCGGGCGCGTGCCGAGCGGCTGCCCCCCGAGCCGCCCGGCTCCAGCACGGCGCCGCCGAGCCCAGCACGAGGAGGGCGGACTGCGCGGCGGACGGGGCAGGCTCTGAGTGGCCTGTCGCGGTTGCCAGCGCAAGATGCCGCGAGGCGACTTGAACCCAGATATTACAGAATGCAGTTGAGACGAGCCTAATGAGACAACTGGCCTCCAGAGAAACATCTGACAAGCTCTGACTATGGCGTCGCGGCCTCGCGCGCAGCGGCGAGGCAAAGCGAGTCAAGCAAAGAGAGCGTACCGAGTGCGCGCGACCTATGTTTGGTCCGCGGCGGCGGCAATCCCCACCGCGTTCGTAGGCAACCGTGGTTTGCAACGGGGCCGAATTGGGCACAGCAGGCGCGGGAAAGGAGGCGGAGTGCGCGGAAAAGGAGGGAGCACGTTCAGAGCGTGAAGTTCTTGAACGTGTGTGCCAGAGCGCATGCACAGCGTGGCGTGGAAGTCCACACAAACACACACACACACATACAAACACAGACACACACACACACACACACACACACACTCACGCTTCCTCTTGGCCCATACTCTGCCCCAACTCCTGTTGTTCTCGCGGTCGTAGGACGTGTAGTACTTGCGAAGGAACGGATCCCCGAAGATGAAGAGGGGCCTGGGGGGGAGCCAAAGGCGCGATCGCCGCGCGGCTCGCGGAAGGGAAACAGAACAGGAGGCGATGCGGCAGCAGTGGTCGCGGCAGCGCAGAGGATGGCGAAGCATGGAGCACGAGAGGCGCTGCGGGGCCAGCGCGTGCTCACCACGAAACGCACGTCGCCATTTCGACACATGCTACATGCTGCTGCTCGTCTTCCTCACCCTCCCTGTCACCGTCCGTCTTCCAAAACCTGCTGTTGCGTGGCTGCAGTTGCTGCGCCTCCTCTTTCCCGTCCTGCTCCTGCTCCTCTTCCTCCTCCGCCTTGCCTGATCCTCCTCTTCCTCCTCCTCAGCACACGCAGCAACAACAGCCTCTTCCTCATCCTTCTCCTCATCATAACCCCCGTCCGCACCCCCGATCCACTCCTCCCTACTCCTCCTCATCCTCCTCCTCGCCATCATCATCAGCATTATCATCCTCATCAGCATCATCACCTTGAACAACATCAGCATCGTCATTAACACGCTCCTCCTCCTCTTTCTCCTCCTCCCCCTCGGGCTGGCCTTTGTCTTATTCCTCCTTGTCATCCTCATCCTTCTCCTCATCATCATCCTCATCCTCATCCGCATCATCATCAACGGAAGCCAACTATCACCGTTACCATCACAGTCACCATTACCATCACCATCATCATCATCATCAGCATCATCATCAGCAGCAGCAGCAACATCAGCAGCATCAGCAGCAGCATGTGTTTTAGCGCTGTTCACTCTTACCTGCTCTCGTGCCGTCAACACGTGCACCCCAAACCCTCGATACCCACCCTATGTGTCTTCGATCGTACCCCTTGGGGATACATCCGCCACACCTGCCACGCGTATTTGGCGCAGCCCGTAAAACAGGGAAAAAGAGGACGGATGTAAGATGAGACAAAGGGGTAGGGAGAAGGATGGAGCACGAGAGAGAGTAAGAGGAGGAGGTGTAGGAGCAGGAAGACAGGCGGTAGAACCAGACCCGCGGTCGGGCGGGCGGACCCGAACTGGCGGTTCGGGAGGGCGTGCTCAGACGGCCGGATGCCTGCCTCCTCCCTCCTCCCTCCTCCCTCCTCCTTCCTCTCCTCGTCCTCCTCCTCCTCCTCCTCTTCCTCCTCCTCCTCCTCCTCCTCCACTTCTTCTTCGTAGTATTGGTATTATTCTTGTTATTCATATAAGTAATATAAGTAGTATTACTATTAGCTTGCTTATTATTAGTAGTATTAGTATTAATATTATTATTAGCACTAGTATTAGTAGTAATATTATTATTAGTATCAACATGTTTAGTATTGTGAGTATTATTGGTAGCATTATTGTGATTATTATTATTATTATTACTACTATTACTATTATCATTATTATTATCATTAATAGTATTAACTTTACTAGTATTATTAGCAGTATCATTATTCTTATTGTTAGTATTCATACTAGTATTGGTATTACTATTATTAGTAGTAGTATTATAATCATTATGAGCATTATGACTATTATTATTCGTAGTTTTATTATTAGTATGATTATTATTAGTATGGCTATTATTATTACTATTAACTTTACTAGTATTATTATCATTATCATTATTCTTATTGTTAGTATTAAAATTAGTATTGGTATTACTACCATTAGTAGTAGTATTATTATCAGTATGATTACTATGATTATTATTATTCGTAGTTTTATAATTAGTAATATTATTATTAGTATTATTGTTTTTGTTCGTGTTATTGTTGCTTTTCGCATTAGTATGATTATTAGTAGCATTATTAATATTATCAGTACTATTAGTATTAGTATTAGTACTAGTATGATTAGTATTATTAATAGTATTCCTAATAGTATTCTTAATAGTATTATTATGATTATTGTTATTATTACTATTATTGGTAATATGAATAATAATAAAAATAATAATGCGAACAGTAATAATAACATTCTTATTATTATTATTATTAATATTAATATTATGATTACTCTTCCTCCTCCCCCTCCTCCTCGCCCTCTTCCTCCTCCTCCTCCTCCTCCTCCTCCGAGGGTCGCTGACGCGCCAATCCTGACGGAGTCGCGGGGAAGCCTCGAACGATAGCGCGATCCCCACACAAGCTGGGGCAGAAGTCCAGGGCGAGAAAGCTTGCTTCCTGCGCGCCGACGGCACGGCCCACGTGCATCCGCCGACCCTTTCTCGGCGTGCGTGCGACGCTGTCGTCGTATTCGTCGTCGCCAGTCCCAAGAAAATTGAAGAACGACAGAAAAGAATCGTCGTAGTTGGGTCGACCCGGCCGTCTCCCATCTTGACCTTCCCAGACGAGGCGGGGGGGGGGTTAGGGGGAGGGGGGGGGGGCCACAGGGAAGGGGGAGCCTCGGGTCAGACTGCCGCCCTCCCCCGACCCGGCGGGCCCTTGGGAGTGGCCCCGCCGCGTGGACCCGGGGAAGGGGGGGGCGCCCCGGCCCCGGCCCAGGCCCCGGCCCCAGCTCCGGCCGCGGCCGCGGCCGCGGCCGCGGCCCCAACCGTTGCCAGGCGCAGGTCGGGCATGTCCTCCTACAGGCGGATTTTGCAAGAAAAAACTAAGAATATGTCAAAAATAATTCAAAAATATCTGAATTACGCCACCGAGGAACACCACACACTTATAATATTTCCGGGGTGATCATAGCTGACGTGAGACATTCGAGAACGATGTTGGTGGCCGTTGCCCCGCGGATACCCTTGGCGACGCAGGTACCGAAGCAGGGTCCAGTAAGTACCTCACCAGGAACTGTCTCCTTGAATCGTCAGCGCCTCGTTCACGCGGCAACTCTTCGGATTTGGTAAATAGCGTCTCAGGTAACCAGTTCGTCAGCTGTCGGTGCATTGTACCAAAACGCTCCCACGCCTGACAACATATCCGGGCAAACCATCCAAATTCAGCTCGGCACCCATCTCTAGCATTCATATCTTCAGCTGCTCGCACGGCAATGGCAGCGCGGACATGCCGCATTTGGGCGACATGACGGAAGCCGTACCTTTGACGGAGAGTCACCCGCGGTCGCCCGCGTTCACGTATCGAGCAGTCTGAGCCTGCATGAGACAGGGTGGCGGCAGCCTTTGATGATAATGGTAGCGCCTCACCCGCTTGCGTGCCCCTTGTGGCCTCTAGAAAATGCCACGCGCGCTGGGCCCTGGGACACCGCACCCCCTGCGCACCCCCCATGGTGTCGAGAAAGTGCCACGCCTTCTATGTCCTGCACGACCGGCGCGCTTAGCGGCCGCGCTCAGACAGCACCGCCTGCGCATCCCCCTACGGCGTCGACAAAATGCAACGCCTGCTGCGCCCTGCACGACGACGTGCATGGCGGCCGCGCTCACAAACCACCCCCTGCGCACCCCCTATGGCGTCGAGAAAGTGCAACGCCTGCTATACTTTGGACGACTGGCGCGCATAGCGGCCGCGCTCAGAGACCACCCCCTGCGCACCTTCCACGGTTTCGAGAAATTGCCACGCTTGCTATGCCCTGCACGCCCGGCGTGCATAGCGGCCGCGCTCAGAGACCACCCCCTGCGCACCCCTTATGGTGTCGAGAAAGTGCCACGCCTGCTGCGCCTTGCACGACCGGCGTGCATAGCGGCCGCGCTCAGAGACCACCCGCTGCGAACCCCAGATGGTGTTGAGAAAAAGCCACGTGTGCTATGCCTTGCACGACCAGAGCGCATGGTGGCCGCGCTCAGAGACCACCCCCTGCGCACCCTCTGTGGTGTCGAGAAAATGCAACGCCTGCTGCGCCCCGCACCACCAGCGTGCATAGCGACCGCGCTCAGAGACCACCCTTTGCGCACCCCCATGGTGTCGAGAAAACGCCACGCGTGCTATGCCCTGCACGACCGGCGTGCATAGCGGCCGCGCTCAGAGACCACCCCCTGCGCACCCCCTATGTTGTCGAGAAAAAGCAACGCCTGCTGCGCCCTGGAAGACTGACGGATAGCGGCCGCGCTCAGAGACCATCCCCTGCGCACACTACGGTGTCGAGAATAAGCCACGCCTGCCACGCCTGCATGCTCTGGACGACCGTCACGGATAGCGACCGCGCTCAGAGACCACCCCCTGCGCACCCCTTAAAGTGTCGAGAATATGCCTCGCCTGTTTTTCATTGCGAATCCTACACGTATGTCTTGCATATGGCGTGTCATCCGTCGCTGTACGTAGACGCGTGTCCCATGTACGCGCCGTCCATGTGTTGCGCGTGGGCGAAGGGAGGAAGAGGAGGAGGGAGGAGAGGCGAGGGTGAGACGCGGGTTGATGGGAGGAAGGAAGAGGACGAGAGGAGAGGAGAAAGATGAGGAAGACGCGGATGCAACGCCGCAGGGAAGAGAACAAGAACCCCACTAAGCATGTGGGGAAAAATCGTCCCCAGACTATTGCTTTACTATTCTTGAGTATTCCTCCTGTAAAGGGACGTGCCCGAACTAAAGCCAGGCGTTGTACGAACTTTGGACTGCTCCGCTGTCCAGGGAAGTCGACTGCACAAGTGGACGCCACAAGTTCCTGGATAGCTCCTTATAGAGAGCCAAAAGGGCTGTTAGAGAAGAAGGCTTCTTCTCTCAAGAAGCTTCTTCAAGAAGCTAGCAGGCAGGGCTACGCCAGCTTCCTCTCCGCGGCTCTCGGGCAGGCATGCTGGCAGCGTGGTCCCAAGAGGGAGCCCCGAGGTCTCATGGGGTGTCCCGCCTTCAGGGTCGGCGGAGCTGGCAGCAAGGCCTTCACAGTACGCCAACGCGAGAGCGCGATTCCTGACTCAATTGTGAGGAAGTCTCGCGCAAGAGTGCGATTTTCAATAACTCGTGAAGGGATAAAGGGCCGGGGCCATTGAATTCTCACTCCCAAGAAAAATATGGTTGATCCCGGATGACCCATCCCCCTCTGGTAACCTTTGCATTTTTCAATTAGCATGCTCCTCCCAAGGCTCGCACTTGGTTTCTGAAAAAAACATCTGTGGGGTCACCAAACTGAGCCCCTGGCCGCCGAATTGGAACAACAGCGGCTCCCGCCAGATGCTTCCTCGCAATGCAAGCCGGGCTCTCACAGGGGACTTCTTCACAATCTGTGCAGGAATAACACTCTTGCGTGGGACCTCCTCGCAATTGTTTCAAACGCCACGCACTCGGCGCTCAGGACGATTCACTTGGGAATCGCGCTCTCGCTCGAGACATCCTCGCGATTCGTGCAATATTCACGATTCAGCAACCCGCCTGCTCGACGTGCCCGCTTGGGCCCGCCTTCCCGACCCGCTCGTTAGTGTTTACCCGCCCGATCTGCCCGTCTGGTTCTGCCACTTGGATTCTGCTCCCGGTCCCCTTCCTGCGAATCCCGTGTTCCATCCTTCTCCCTCCTCCGTCCATCCGTCCTTCTTCCCCTGTTTCTGGGGTTGCACCAATTACACGCGGCAGGTAAGGAAGATATGCCCCAGGTGCGATCGAAGACGAAGACGGCGGGTACCAAGGATTTGGGATACATATACGTGTTGAATGGCACGCGACCAGGTAGAAGAGAACAATATTAAAATGATCGTTGTTGATTTCTCACGTCTAGAAAGAATGATCATTGATGTTCCCTCCGTGGTGCCCAACGTTTTTCTATTGAAGTGCTGTTCGTGGGGCTCGCGCCCTGTTCTTTACCAGGGAAAGTCTTGCGTTCCAGACTGTGCCCCTCAGGGCCGAAACCGCAGGGACTAAAGACTGAGGAAGCCGCAGGGCCCCTAGGAGCCTTGAATAAAAATCAAGGATATAGATAACGGGAGCGTTGTTGTTTGCAGGGTGGGCGCTTGCGGCGCCGAGGCGGGATCGTCGTTCCTGCGTGAATACCAACGAACTATCGACGGGAGCTCTCTTGTTGCTGGGGGGCCAGTTTCGGCGGTACCCCGAAAAGCTCGAGCATGAGCCTCAATTTCAAAGGCAATGCAGCCAGCGCCGAAGCGAGAGCGCCAAAAGAGCCTCTAGGGGATTAAACATCGCCATCTGAATCGCCATCGTAAATACCAACAGCATCATCATCATCATCATCATCATCATCATCATCATCATCATCATCATCATCATCATCATCATCATCATCATCATCATCATCATCATCATCATCATCATCATCATCATCCTCATCCTCATCCTCATCCTCATCATCATCATCATCATCATCATCATCATCTGCATCATCATCAGCATCATCAGCAGCAGCAGCATCTTCATCATCATAATCAGCATCATCATCACCACCATGAGCATCATCATCATCATCATCAGCATCATCAGCATCATCATCATCATCAGTATCAGCATCATGGTCGTCATCATCATCATCATCATCATCATCATCATCATCATCGTCATCATCATCAGCATCATCATCATCATCATCATCATCAGCATCGTCATCATCCTCATCAGCAGCATCATCGACAGCATCATCATCAGCAGCATCATCACTGAGGGCAGCAACATGTTCACCAGGATCACCGTCACCGTCGCCGTCATCGATGTCATCCTCATCATCGACAGCATCATCATCGGCCGTAGAATAAGCTTCAGCATCATCATCATGATCTGCATCAGCATCAACGTCAACACAAGTATCATCATCAGCATCATCAGCAGCAGCCTCATCCTCCCCCTGCCCCTCCTCTTCCTCCTCCTCCTCCTCCCTCCTCCTGCTCCTCCTCATCATCATTATCATCATCAGCATCAGCAGTATCATCATCATCATCATCAGCATCATCATCAGTATCATCATCATCATCATCATCATCATCAGCAGCAGCAGCATCATCATCGCCGCCGTCATCGTCCTTGTCATCAGAATCGTCATCATCATTAGTAGCATCCCTCCACCTCCTCTTCCTCCTCCGCACATCCTCATTCGCAGCATCATCACCATCAACATCAAGACTGTCGTCATTCCCAACATCCTCACCATCGACATCGACATCGTCATTGTCATCGTCAATACCATCATCATTGTCATCATCATCAGCAGCAGCAGCATCATCGTCAGCGGTAGCATCAGCAGTCTTAGTCACCACCATCATCTGCATCAGCATCATCATTACCATTCGTATCATCATAACAATCGTCAGCGACGGCATCAACCTCATCATCATCATCAGCAGCAGCATGATCATCTTCACCAGCATCCTCATCAGCATCATCAACAGCAGCATCATCATCATCGTCAGCATCATCAGCATCATCAGCATGATCATAGCCATGATCAGGGTAATCATCATCATCAGCAGCATCATCATCATCATCAGCATCATCATCATCAGCATCATCAGCCTTTTCGACATCCTCATCCTCATCATTATCCCTCCTCCTCCTCCTCCTTTCTCCTTCTCCTCCTCCTCCTCTTCTTCCTCCTCCTCCTTCCCTCCTCCCCCTTACCCTTCATCCACATCCTCGTCCTCCTTCCTCCTTCCACCTCCTCCCTCCTGCTTCCTCTTCCTCCTCGCGCAGCTCGTGCAACTCAAAAGCCTCTCTCCCTCGTCGTGCCAGCACAGAGGAGACGGATCATCGCCTCCCTCCTCCCTGAGACCACCCCAACCCCACCCGCAGACCCGAATCTCGGGTTGGGGGGGGAACGGGTTCCAGATGTGTTTTCCCATGTTCCCCGACACCCCCCACTGGAAATGGAGGGCAAATTGAGACCTTCGGGTTGGGTTGGGGTGGTTTGGTGGGTGGTGACTCCCTCCCAGGAGAGCTCAGAATCGAATCGATGAGTCGAATCGGCGATCGAAATTCATCGGATCGGCGGAAATCGGCAGCCAAGTCGGGAGGAGTGGAACCGGCGGAGATCGGCAGGCTTGCATGCGTCCAGTGAGGAATCGGAACCCACATCTCGGCGGTGGACAAACCTCCCTTTAGTAAACCTCCCCCTAGTGAAAACGGCCTGGAACCGAAACCGACGGACCTGGACCCGCAAAAATGACGGCCGCGGCGCCCTCTCGCGAACCGAAAACGGCCAATTCACTAGTCGACGTGTCAGGGTAGGAGGTCTGTCCACCCCCGACCATCGGGATAATGCGGGATGACGATTAAGAAAAAAAATGGGAGAGAACGATTAAAAAACAGTTTTCTGATATTTCTGCACACTTTTCCGACTGGAGGAGACGATTCAGAAAATAGTCTTCTGGCCCGCGGCCGATTTTTTCTAATCGTCATCCCGGGCGCCGCCGCGTGAACACGACCCCCGGTCTTTTATTAATCGTCATCCTCCATTACCGAGTCGAACCGAACCGGATCGTCTCGGAGGAACCGAAGCGAGCCCTGTCCTCCCCCATCCCTCCGCCGCGGGAGGGCGGCCCGTTCGGCGGCGGCACGTCGAGGGGCATCAGCGACACCTGGCCGGGGGCACCCCCGGAGGCCCCGCCCGCCGCGCGCCGAGCCCGCGCGAGAGGCGCAGCCCCACCCCGCAAACCCCAGGGGGTGGGGGGCACGAGAGCGTTTTGTTCCTGCTGGAGGAGGAGGAGGGGGAGGAGGAGGAGGAGGAGGAGGAGGAGGAGGAGGAGGAGGAGGAGGCGGAGGAGGAGGAGGCGGAGGAGGAGGAGGAGGAGGTCATCCTGAGTCGTATCGTGACGGCACCGATGCCCGGCCAGGGCCCCAAGAGGCCGGAACACACGGACGAGGCCGAGGTCTCTCAGGGTCGTGGCACAAGTGTTTAGATCGTTCCGGATCTTGGCCCAAGGGCCCGAGCAGGGGCCGCCTCCGGCGCCCCCCGCGGCCTTGAGGGGCCGCGGGGGGCGTGGTGTTTACTGGCAAGGCTTCCGCTGTAGCCCAAGCTATCCGAGAGCCCGAATTCTCCGATCCAGGGTGTTCACCGTTTGCGGCCTCTCGGGGCCCTGACCGAGCCTCGGGGCCGTCCAGGAAACGACTCGGGATGAAAAAACCGGGTCTCACGGATGTGGTCGAGAGGTCGGGGGACGGCGTCGCGACGAAATCGAGACGCCGCATGTCTTGGGGAGGGGAGGTGCCGGCCCGGCCGGTAACCTGGCCATTGCGCTCTGGACGGCCCCACGCATGCCCGCGCACGCGCCAGTCCTGCATACCCTCGTCGGACCTGCGCAACCGACAATTGGTCAGGCTATCCGGGGGAGAGGAGAGAGGGGGGTGGGCCCGATACAGCCGGACCTGGGCCAGAAGAACATCCTTCAAGAACATGAGAGCCGCCAAGAACACGAGATCCGCCGTCGGAGAAAACAAGCAGAACATCTAAGGGTACCCTCTTCAGGACGAAGAACCGCATCCGACAAGCACGAAGATCACTGGGGTACTCGGTCTGGTCGAAGCTGGGTGCGGGCCCGATACCCCGGGCTTATCGGCGGATCCTTCAAAAAACAGTCCCCACCCCGCCGCGCGCCCTCGCACCAAAGGGTCCCTCTGGCGCACTCGTCGTCGCACTCGCCGCACTCCTTGCGCACGGGCTCGCGCTCGAGCCGGAGCGGCGCCGCGTCGACGGGAAAGCGACAGAAGTCTGCCCGCACATCGAATCGGCCCGGCGATGGATCGGCCGTTCGCGTTGCTGACTCCTTCGACTTGGCTGTAATCCAGTGGACTGTGAGGGGCGTTTTGGGCCGTCGGGAAGCATGCGTGGAGCGCCTGGGAAAGGTGGTGGGCCATCTGGAGGCGACGACGGGCGTCTGGGAGTGACTTTCTGGCGACGCAGGGGCGAGCCGGAGCTGTCTGGGGGGGTCTTGGGCACCTCGAGGGTCCCTGGTTCCCCCATGCACTGCCGGGCCCCGCGCCCTGGGCTCCCAAGCCTAGTAGACGGGTGTGTGTGTGTATCTGTATACATCGATACTAGAACCACGCGCGCGCTTCGCGCGCGCTTAGGTTCCAACCGGGCCCAAGGAACGCGCACCGTAACTTGCCAATGTGCCATCGAGGAGTGCAGTGGCGATTCGAATGTAAATCGGAGCTGTCTGAGGTGCTTTATTTTTTAGGGGGGGAGGGGGGCGGCCTCTTTGGGGCTTCTCTGGCACGCTGCGAGGAGCCTTCTGGGACGTCTCCGGGGGAACTCTTCGGCGACTCTGGGAAGCCATGGCGGCCTCTTAGGAACAGCTTGGCGCCACGGTCGGTTGCCCTTGCTGGCGTGTTGCTATTCGAAGCTCCCTGGGCACCTACTGGGGCCCTCTTGGGGAAGTCTTGGGGGGCTCTCGGGCCACCTGGGGCAGTTTTGGGGTTCGCTCGGGCAATATTTGAAACCTCCTGGGCCGTCTTGGGCCGTCTTGGGGCGCTCGGGAATCTTGGGCGATCAGGGGGGAGGGCAACGTGGAGGGCCTGGCTGGATCGCGCAGAGGCTAGGAAAGCAGATGCGGCAGAATCGCCACCCCAAACACATGAAGGGCCATTATCTGGTCCACCCCTCTTGGTCGCGTACTCGGGGCCACCTTGGGTGCCTACTGGTGCCTGGGGCCGCTCTTCGGCCTCTTGTGGGGCCTCCTGGGGGCTTCCTGGCGGCTTCGGGGGAGCCTGCTCGCGGTCCCGAGGGTCTTCTTGGGCCAGAGGGATCGAAATGTCAGTTCGAGCTCCCCCTCTTTGGTCCCTCCTGAGGCCCTCTTGAAGCCCTCCCCACCGTCTGAGGCGCCTGTGACGGCGTTTTGGGGCTTGCTTGGCTCGTCTTGGGGCCTAGTTATCTAGGGCCTCTTTGGCGGCCTCAGAAGCCGCCTTGAGGCGATCCTGGGGGCCCCTCGGGGAAGTGTTGGGCGCGGCTTAACGAAGAACTGATGCGCTAGAAATGCAAGTTGCAAGGAAACGATGTGGGCCTCTTGCAGCTCTCTTGATTGCCCTTTTGGGGGCACGCTTGGGTTTTCTGATGAGCCTCGTAGCCGTCTTGAGGCCACCTTGAGCGGTCTTGGAGCTCGCTTGGACCAATTGGAGCACTCTCGGGTCGTCTTGGAAGCCTCTTGGGCTGTCTGGAAACCATCGCGGGTACTCTTGGAGCGCTCTCGGGGCCGATAACGCGCCCCGGGCCCTGGGGTCAAAATAGGTTACCCAAGGCGGGCCATTTTGGTAATTTATCATTGTGCCCCGATGGCGGCCGCCATAACTTGCCAGAGCCAGGGGTGGGGGGGAGAGGAAGGCAGGAGCTGGAGCGGAGAAGCAGGAAGAGCAATTAAGCAGCAAAATCAGGACCCCCCCAACAGGGTCACAAGCATACAAAAGCAGCGAGTCACCACCAGGCAGCTATACGCCACATTCGGGGCCGCCCATGACTCATGGTGGGGCTTGGCCTTCGCCATTACCCGAAATCCGCCCTGGAACGCCAAGTGCAGTTGGCTCGAAACAACCAGTCGACAACTCCCTCAGGCCTGCGGGCCGCAGCCCCTGACCCAGACCGCGGGGGAAAACAACTATACACAGTCGGCTACCTCTGGACCGCGTCTGCGCGAAAGGCCTCTGAAACCAGAGCTCCCGAACATGCACTCAGCTCGTGCTTCTTTCGTCGTCATCCTTCTTCTCCCCTCCTCGTCATCCTCGCCCCCTTTCTCGCCCTCCCTACTTTTCCCTCCTCTTCCCTCCTCCCTCTCCACCTCCTCCTCCTCCTCCTCTTCCTCCACCTCCTCCTCCTCCACCTCCTCCTCCTCCTCCTCCTCCTCCGCCTTCTCCTCCACATGCTTCTCCTCCTCCTCCTTCTGCTGCTCCTCCATCCTCAAAACTCCGCCCTCCCTGCTGCGACCAGGCACGACACGGGGAAGTCGTGACCCCCATCGTTCCCTGTCTGGCGCGCTCTGTGGGGAATCACCCGCCTCAGAATGGCTGTGGCCGATTGCCGCCGCCTCCTGTGAGCATCGTTTCACCGATCCCCCTTATACCCATGGGCGTGGCCTGGGCCCCACTGGCCGATTTACCCCCCCCTAGATAGAGATGGGGCTCCCTCGACCTGCTGCCGCGATGCGGCCGCAGCGGCCGCCGCGGCCACCGCTGAAGCCTCGTTGGTCCCCGCCGCTGCAGCCGCGGCGGCGGCGGCCGCGGCAGCGCGCCGCCTGCCGCGCGGCAGGTGCGGAACATGCAGGTCGAGGGCTAATGGGGAAACCAAGAAGGTACCGATACCGGTACTCCCCAGACCTATTCTGGGGTGCGTTCGGGAGGCCCACATGGGGGAAAACGAGGGGAGGGTAGGGGTATGGGTACCTTTTCCTCCTCTGGGTGGCTAGGGTTAAGTCGGGCGTGTCCCCCTACAGGGGGATCTTGGACGAAAAATAAAAAGTATTAACAAATAATCAAAAAAATAGGAAACAAAATCGTCCCCAGACTATGGCTCGACAATTTTGGAACATTCCTCCTGTAGAGGGACAGGCCCGACTTGAGGCTAGGGGTCGGCTCAACGATGCTGATCCTAGACCGGGAGGCGGCGGCAGCGCGTCCGCGCTCGCGCTCTCGGCGCCCGCGCCCGCGTCGTCGCCATTTTCACGGGCGCCCGCGACCTGCACGTCACCGCGCTCTGCGGGCAAACCGGAGGCCGTTCCGGGCCACAGGAGGGGGCGCTCGCTTGCTCGGCGCGCCCCGCTGCTGCGCGCCATGCTTGCCGGCGCCGCCGCGGCTCGCCGCTGTGCTCGCGCCTGCGCGCGGCGCGGCAGGAGCGCGAACGCGCCGACGCGATCGCGGCGGGCGCCTGCCCTCAGGGCGCGGCGGCGGCCGCAGCGGCGCCGTCGGCGCCGACGGCTCCGCCGCGGCCGAGCGTGCGCGGCGCCGGGGCACCGATCTGGCGCTTGGGCCCCGCGTCCGCCGCCGTGCCCAGGGCGGCCGCCCCCTCCCGGTGTGCGCTGTGCCTGGAGCTGCTGCGCCTGCCGGCCGGGCACCTCCCCAGAGACCCAGCGCACTGAAACGGATCGAGGCGGAGAGTTTTCGCGAGGTTTGACCTCGAGGGGCCCGCGCAGGGCCCCCCAGGGCCGCCAAAAAACGACTCGGGAGGATGATGAGGATGATGGTGTTGGAGTTGGAGATGGTGTTGGTGTTCGTGTTGTTGTTGTCTGGTTTCAACCATGATGACGGAGCAAGGATAACAGGTATATTTTTGGGTAGAGGAGGAGGAGGAGGAGGAGGTATATTTGTGGGTCGAAGAGGAGGGAGACCAAAACCGGTCGAGGCTCCCGGGGACCGCGAATGGAAAAGATCACGACATCGGATCTCTGGGGCTGTGTCTGGAGCTGCCGCGCCTGCCGACCGGGCACACCCAGAGGGGCTGCGCTCGGTCCCCTCCCCCCAGGGTTAGGTCGGGCATGTCCTCCTACAGGGGGATTTTGGATGACAGATGCAACAGAGTCAAAAAATACGCAAGAATGGCCAAAACGTACTCGAAAAGTCGTCCCCAGACTGTTTTTTTACTATTTGGGAAGATTCCTCCTGTAGACGGACGTGCCCGACTGTGGGTGACGCCTTTCATATACACCAGGGCTCTGCGGGACACCCTGGCGGAAAAATCGCGAGGGCACAATGCCCCCTGTGCCCGCGACGTCAACGCGAAGTTTAAGCCACGTGTGCCACATGCACACGAGACACCCCGCACGAGACAGGCTACATGCGCAATGCCTCATTGATCCAGGTGCCTGCACAGCTTCAAAAAACCATTCACGACATTGCCACATGGCGATTGACGTACCATCGCCCCCGAGAACCCATCAGTCCGGCACACCCGCTGAATCCTTCAGAATCCACCAGGGGGCTCCGTCGACCGAACCCAAGGGGAAGCTCGTGGTGTCGGCGAGACCTCCCCGGAGCTCGGGGCCCCCGGAAGACCGTGGGGGTGGCGGGCCGCGCGGCGGCCTCTCGGAGTCCGCGCCGCGACATCGCCGCGCGGCCCGTCACCGCACGGCCCTGTGACCCCGGCGTCAGGTCGGGCGCGTCCCCCTGCAGGGGGGACTGTGGACGAAAAGTCGCAGGTACTCCAACAACAATCAACACATGATCAGAAACAAGTACTCCAACAACAACGAAAAGTCACAGGTACTCCAACAAATGCTCAGAAACAAGTACTCCAACAACAAGTACTCCAACAATCAATCAATCAACGAAAAGTCACAGGTACTCCAACAACAGTCTCCAGAAAGTCGTCCCCAGACTCTTTTTTAGGTTACTGTTGTTGAAGATTCCCCCCGCAGAGGGACGTGCCCGCCTTTCACCCCGGCGGCCCCCGGCGGCCCGAGGCGTCCTCGGAGAGCGGCCCGAGCTCCGAAACCGTGCGACGGCCCCGAATCTTCGGAGGAAGAATCGGCGGTGGACAAACCTCCCTTCAGTAAACCTCCCTTTAGGGAAAACGGCCTGGGACCGAAACCGACGACTGGACCCGCAAAAATGACGGCCGCGACGCCCTCTCGCGAACCGAAAACGGCCAATGCACTAATCGGCGTGTCAGGGTAGGAGGTCTGTCCACCCCCGAAAGACAAGACACCCACGATCCGCCGAGCCTCGCCACGCGGCGCGCCCCTTCCGCAGGGCCTCCCTGGGAGGCCCCCGTGGCCACCGCTGGACTCGCCCCTCGAGGCCCTGGTCAGCACGCAGCCCGGGGAGAGGTCCGGGGAGCAGCGCTAGGCCGGGCACCCTGCAGGCGGATTTTGGACGACAAATGACAAAAAAACTCACAAGTCGAACCTATATCATTTATACGCTTCATTGGTAATGGAGAATATCAACAAAAAAACTAAACAACAACAACAACAACAACAACAACAACAACAACAACAACAACAACAACAACAACAACAACAACAACAACGACAACAACAACAACAACAACAACAACAACAACACCAACAACAACAACAACAACAACAACAACAACAACGACAACAACAACAACAACAACAACAACAACAACAACGACAACAACAACAACAACAACAACAACAACAACAACAACAACAAAACTCCACTATGTTTTGACAATGCTTTAAATCTTTCTGTAGAGTGACGTGCCCGACTTCAGAATAGCGGCATCGGCATCTTTCGGATTCCCACGACGACTCCCCACTGCCTCACCACACGGCGTGGTCGCCGCACACCGTATTTGGGGGAATTCCCCCCCCCGAGAGGGGAGGGATGCGTCGAAGCCCGTGATGACTACCTACCAGACCACCCCTACCCAACCCGAAGAGCCGAATTTCGCGCGAATTCCAGGTTGGGGGAGGTACGGGTTTCTTATGTGTTTTTCCTAAATGTTCCCCGACCTCCGCCCACTGGAAATGGAGGGCAAATCGGAGCCTTCGGGTTGGGTTGGGGTGGTTTGGTGGGCGGTGAGGTGGGCCCCCCTGGGGGAGGCGAGGGCCCCGAGCTCCCCCCCCCGTTGCGGCGGGCGTGCCTGGAGTTGCTGCGCCTGGACCTGCCGTCTGGCGGCGCGCACGAGGGGTTCTTCTCCAGTCCCCGCAAGGAGTGGGCCTCCAACGGCCCTGCTCGCGCGCTGCACGGCACGCGCTCGAGAGTGCTGCTCGTCGCCCCCGCCCCGCCCGAAGGCTGAGACGGCATCGTGCGATTGGGAACGGAGGCGACGACGGCGACGTCGGTCTCGATGCTTTCGCTTGTGTACCTGGAGGTTCTCGCCACCTCGACTGGACGCGACATGGAAAACTCGGGGTCGGCCAAGAGGGGGGCGTCCAAGAGGGGGGGGGGGGGGCGCAAACCATGGCTGGCGGCATGTGCGCGGCCTGGGGGGGCGACCGGGGACGTATTCAAACAAGAAGCGGCGCCATGAACCCTGAGGAGATATCATGGCCATCGCCATGATTTCCACACACCCCTAGTCATCAGCCTCATCTTTGCCGCCCCTGGAAAACTGGTCCAGAGGGACCCAGGGGGGGGAGTCCGGGTCCGTATGTGCCAGCTTTGGGCGGACTCTGGTCGGGGGGTGTCGCGAGGGGGGGGTCTTACAAGGATGCAAAAGGTGGCTTCTCAGAAGCCCTCCCACCATCTACGGACCACTCTCCTAGCCTCCGAGCCCCCCTTAGGGGACCACGTGCAAACCCTACCCCTTTACCCCCCCCCCTCAGAGATCGTGGGGGTAGGGGTACAGTCGGGGCGCTGACTAAGGAACCCTGTTCGTTGGGGAGGAGCTCGGTGTTCCTTGATTGTTTTACAGTTTGCCTTGGGTGTTCCTCTGGTTTCCCATGGGGACTCGAAGTTTAAGTGAAGGGAAACAGGGGCCTCGCTCCTTATTCAGGGTCCCTTAGGTCAACGCCCCGACTGTACAGTAAAGGCCCGACCACAAGAACCCTTCCACAAGAAACCCAACCCTGAGACCCCAGGACGTCCATCGATTTGTGGAGTGGGAACCTCGCGCTCCCCATTGCAAATCCATCGAAACCCAAGAAACCCAGGGCACCCTGGAGACAAGCAGGGTGTTTCTTGGCATGGGTCTCCACTGTAGGGCTCGCACGTGGCCCCCTGCTCCCGGGAGGCCCCGTCCTCTCGGAAGGCCGCCCCCCCGAGTTGGGCCGACCCTGAGTCGAACCTGAGTCGAACCTGAGTCGAACCTGAGTCGAACTTGGGTCGAACTGGGGTCGAACTGGGGTCGAACAGATCCGTTTGGTGGGCTCCAGGAAGGTCCCCGAGACGAGCATCGCGGTCCCCTGCTCCCGGGAAGCCCCGTCCTCTCGGAAGGCCGCCCCCCCGAGCCGGTCCCCGGCTGGCGGTCTCCGCGGGCCCCGCCTCGGGCCCCTCCGGCGGCCGTGCCGCACGAGGCGCGAGCAGCCCCGGGAGAAGGCCTCGGCGAGGCGCTCCGCCGCTGGAAGGCGCCACCGCCTCGGACGTCCGTTCCCTGCGCTTTTCGCTCGGCGTCGTGCGCGGCTTCGTCGCCCCAAGGCTCCAAGGATGCTCCTCGAGGGCCCTCGCCGAAGGGAAAACATGCACACGTCCGAGCGATGCCAGGGCGGAAGGCACCCACCCCGAGGCCGGAGCGCCGCCGAGAGCCACCGGAAGAAACGCCCCGGAGCCCCGAAGAACCTCGAGCCTCGAAGCCTCGGGGCGCTTCGAGGCGCGGGGCGCCCCCTGGTGCGCGCCGCCAGGCTGCGTCGGGAGCCGCACGAGGGCCCGCCGCCTCGGCCGTGGAGGCCGCCGGGGCCCCTGGCCAGCACCATGCACGCCACCACCTGCGCCTCGTCCTAGGCCGGGCATGGCCTCACACGGGCGGCCTCTGGACGAAAAACAAGGACAAACTCAAGACAAGATTCAAAGGTAGACAGAAAGCATCAAAACATCGTCCCCGGACTACTTGTTGACTATTCTGGAATATTCCTCCTGTAGAGGGACATGCCCGACTTAAGCCTCGTCCTCGTCCCCGCAACGGCGCTGCGAGAGCGTGAAGGAGGCGTGAGTGCCGGCCTGGCCGGCACCTGGCAGCAACAGGTTCAGCGGGCCGAGCTCGAAGAATGACGCCTCCACGTCCGAGTTGACGAAGTCGTTGACGCTGTCGCAGAAGGCGCCGAGGTGAGGGTCCCCTGGGGGCAGCCAGTCCATGAGGGACGTGCCTGCGGGGAACTGCCCAAAGTGAGCGGCGAACGCCCAAGAGTACTGGATGATCTTGAACGTCAGCGCGTCGAAGACGACCGCAAGCTCGGGCTGGGTCTCTCGAGTCTCTTGGCTGAAGATGTCGAACTCCATCGGATGCTCTGGCAACCTCTGCGGGGTGGCAAGCAAGTCGCTGTGCTCTCTGAGGCCCACGAGGTGCTGAGGCACCTCCCTCAGGCTGTCCCAGAAGCACACGTGGAAGAGCTCCATGTCGATCGCGCTCCCAAGGCAATCGCGTATCTTCACGTGGAACGCGTCAGCGATCGCGCCAGTCTCGTGCAGGGTGTTCCTCATGCATCTGTACAGCCGGTCCTTGTCTTCGTCCGAGTACATGAACTGGTCAAACTGTGCGCCGTCGAGGCGGTGGCTGGAGCCGTGCAGGAGCAGCGTGGCGAGGCTCGGTGAATGCTCTCGCAGCTTCAGGCTCCCGTCCAGCTCCACCACCGCGTCGCAGACGGTGCCTAGCAATGACTTCGCGGCGCCCAGCCCGCTGCGCGAGGTGATCGCCTCCACCTGCTGCCGCGCCTCTCCCTCCATGACGTCGCGGATCGAGAGGCTGATGAGCAGCAGCACGACCGTGAGGGAGGCCTCCACCTGGAGGAGAACCTTCCAGGTAACGATCGTGCCCGCGACTGTCGACGCACACTCGATGTCGGCAGTCCCCTCCCTCAAGAAGTGCGAGCCCAGAGCCAGCCAATAGACGACGTTCCAGGCTCCAAATATGGGCAGACTCATGCATGTACCCAGGAAGAGCCTCATAACCCCAAAGGCAGCAGAATTAATTAGTAATAGACCATCATTCGATATAACAAGTGGTGACACCACGATGACCATGTGGCTCATCCAATAGGAACACCACAGATCAATTGACCGACGCGTCATCGAGGAAGGACTGAACAACAATGCTAGTATTGACGCGGAGAATGAAAAGAAGCAGACGTCCACTAGATAATATGGTTGCCGCGGCAAGTGAAGGGAAACGTTCATGATCATCTGAATGCACATAAGAGAACACCATATGGAGCATGGAAACACAAAGCCTTGGGCCTGCTGGAGGCGGCGCTGCATAGTCAGATCTTGCACCTTTTGTGCGACCTCCCGTGCGCGCACATGTTGGAACAACAAAACGCTGCATAAACACAAACTGTTGGAGGTCCGCTCGGGTTTCTTGAATCCGCGCTGGACCGCCCTCCCTGGCGCTCGGAGCGCGCAAGGGGCGGCGACGGAGGCGCCGCAAGGGGGGTCCACCGCAGATCCGAAAAATCTGCGCGGAACTCCAAAGTTTATGCTCATATAGTTGTTTCTTGTTCGGCATTCTCTGACGAATCCCCAGTGCTCCCAACCGACGACAGTCCCTTCCGCAGCGCACGGAAGCGTTCCAGGCAGCGCGGCACAACGCCGTTGCGAACCACCAGCGCGATTTGCACCGTCAAGATGAAGCTCGCACCGGAGAAGCTGGCAACATCACGGACAGACCCCATGATGCACTCGGCGGCGCGCCCCAGGGGGGAAGTGAGCAGGGGCAGGCCGTCTCAGAAGGCGCTCCTCCTCCTCCTCCTCCTCCTCGCACGTAGCTCGGATGAAGTGTTCCTTAGTCCATCTCTCTCTCTACCTGTTCCACCAAGTGCGCTCTGGCAGCACGGGCATGAATTGTAATCTCGGAATCATCCACTGCCACTCCCAGCCCCTTGACCGAATTACACATGTAAAAAACTAGCACCAATCGCTGCAAAGCCATAACTCTCCTCTCTGGTCCTCCTCCTTCTCCTCCTCCTCCTCCTCCTCCTCCTCCTGAGAAGCCGTTGTTGTCCTCGGAGAGGGCCTGGGAAACTTCTCGGCAGGGCGGAGGCCCACCGAGGCCTCGGAGAAGGCCCGCCCCCTCTCAGGCTCCCCCCCCCCCCGGGGGCGCACCGCCGACGAGCACGAGGCGGCCCGAGAGCAGAGCCAGCCCTCGCTTGGAGTCCTGAGCCGAGATCGCTACGGGGCAGGTTTTAACACACGGGAGGTTTGAAATATCAGATGCTTAACACATGGTTAATTAGTGAAGACAAGTTGATGCATGACCTCATCGTTGTTATGAATACCGAATCCTTGCATTTGTAATGCATGATCCGCACGCGGAGCATGTGTTAAAAACGGCGCTGTACGGAGACGGGGCTGTTCTGGCATGACGCCCGCTGGGGGAGAACAGCATAAGCAAACGTCGGGCAGCCCCGCGGGCCGCAATCCTCTGCCTCAGGGCTTCCGGCCCTGGGAGCAGGTCGCCGCCTGGGGTTCCTTGGCCTGGCCATCGCTCGGACGTCCATTCCCTGTTTTTTTTCGGTTTCGTGCGTGGCTTTTCCGCCAAATGATCAAGGATGCTCCTCGATGGCCCTCGCCGAAGGAAAGTTGCACACGTCCGAGCGATGCCAGGTGGCCCGAGAGGCTGGAGAACCACCATTCGCCTGGGGGGTCCCCCGGGGTCTGCAGCAGCCTCTGGGGCAGGAGCAGCGAGAACCGGATGAGGAGGAACATGGCCCCATCGTCTCTTCATGGATTTTGCGTGGCTGCGTCACCAATCCACGCCAGAACTAGGTCAAGTAGCTGCCGATAGACGACGTCATACACGCAGTGCCGCGATGCCTGAAGTAGGCGAAATCTGGCTCATGCATCTGCCAACCACCATGCCCCCTGGCAAAGCGAGCAGCGGCATGACGCCGAAACTGTATGGCAAAGGTTCCGTAACTTTCCTAAGTCCCCCTTCCGTACCCACGCCCCCGACTATCACCCCAGGGACCCCGAAGACCTTGGGGGAAAAGAAATAATCGCCATCGGCCTTCTTTACACACAGTCACTCGGCCCGCACTTCTGCAAGGCCAGCGATTGCAGTCCAATTGGCATTGTCATGGACGAGGCCGCTGTCCCACTTGACGCCGAGGCAGCTACTTATACAGTGCGCACGCATGATGACCCACAGGTCCGCACCCGATTCTAGCTACTGACGCCCCCGTTGTCTCAGAGCCCCGCGCGACTCTTCAGCCAGCTGCAAAGGCCCGTGATGTCCCGAGTCGCTCCATCAACGGCGCAGGCTCTACGCAGCCCCGTGGATAATACAAACATCAGCTTGCGGCCGCCTCCCAATCCCAACCAATGTGTGTTTGTTTGGATGTGGTGGCGGAAAAGCAAGCCTCAACTTCGAGCGAAGGGCCGAACTGCAATTACGCGATGAGGCCGCCGAAACCCAGCTTCCATACAAACTCCTCCGACCGCTGGGATAATCAAACCGGGGGACCAGAAAAACGGGTATAAGAAGGGAGGGCGACCAAACTACGGAAGCGCTCTCGCATGCGTAGCGGTTTCCGGGCTCTTTTGGAATATTCACGCGCGAACATTTCCGACTGCATGCGGCCGCCTCCCACGCCAGACGATTGATGTTCTTCCTGCGCGATGGCAGAAAAGCAGGCATCAACTTCGAGCGAGGGACTGGCCCGCACGCATGCGGTGAAACCGCCGAGGTTCAGCCCTCCACGCGAACTCGAAGCCCCTATGGGCGCTCACGATGCCTGACTAAAGAGTGGCGAACTGGCCGAATGTGATAATAAGCGATGGTTCTCAAATGGAGAAAAGCCTTTTGCGAAGCACCCGCGCAGTTTCTGGCACAATCGCTTGGTCCGGGGCTCAGCACTGCGAGTGCGAAACGGTTTGTCTTGTCTCCCGTATACAACCACGAAGTAACGTAAAAAGGGCTAACATTCCATTGCAAGACACGCAGCGCTTTCCAGCAGCGGACAGGTCCACGAAATGATTTTACACCTTGATGCGGTATTTCCAGGGCCTCGACCATTGGTAAACATCGGCCATGTATCCGTGGGATCTGCGCCAACTTCGCAATCCGAGAAAATGACGGGCGATGCAAAGGCGAGAAAAAAAGGCTCGCACACGCGAGTGGCATACGTACTCGCTTGCACAACACAAAACTCGAAACATAGAATTGCATCGGACGAATGATTTCCTGGACCTTGGCCTCCTTGAGCGACAGCCTTGGAAGACCCACATGACGAATTCACGGATGCGAAGTGCCCGCGGGCCATTGACGTCAGAACGACGGGCAGAAAACCAGCCCGCAAACAACAAACACATCCTAACGGCTACCGTGGGAGCGTTGCTACCGCCACGCTGTTCACGCCAACTCTCGCTCAAGCCGCCTGCCGCATCGGCCACTCTCTTCGCGGTGATGCCACGCTTGCTACAGTCCCCGCACACCACCCTGGTCCTGGTCTAGTTGATCCTCGATTTGGTCCTCTTCTAGATGACCTGTGTCCAAGAAGGACACCCCGCAGCATGACGCACAGGACGTCAACGGCGTTGCTTCCGCCTCTGGTTTTCCTTTGCAATACGCTTGCTCGCACGTCGCTCGCAATGCCGATCTCACCCAGTTCGACTGCGAATTTCCGACAGATCCTTTCCCCGGCTTCGCGGCGTTCCCCCTGCAGCCCTGGTATATCCGCCTTCTCTTCTAACAGCGCCCTGCAATTGTCACTCGAACACCAAAATGCGCTTGCGTTATCTCTCCACTTCGCGTCGCCACTGTGCGAATTTCGTTTCGCTTTGACACGGCTGCACTTCGCGCAAGCCGCGGTTCGAATACGTTTCGGCCCCCCTGGGACCCTGCTTATTCGACGTCTAAGCCGCCGCCATGGCGCATCGGTCCGTCGCCCTCTTCGGTTGCCCACGCAACGCGCACATTGCAACGCTTCTCGTTCGCAAGTTTCATTTCAGCCGCACGTTCCTTACGAGACGCCCACCTGTGCTTCCTCTTGAATACATACTCCGCGAACGCCTCCTCCAGAATCCTCCACCAGCATCCCCAGCACTCGGCTTGCGGCATCAACTTGGCCCCCCACTCTGCCCAATCAGCGCCCTGCCGTCGTAGAACTTCCACCGATTTTCCCTCCCAGCCAGTTCGCCTTCATTGCGCGGCTTCCTACCAAATAGGCGAAAGAGCCCGCGGCCGAACATGTTTGAGAAAAGCCAGAAAAACGAGGGGGCGCGCGCCGTCACATCCAGCGCTGGCGCGATCGCGAATTGCGTGGATCGCGCTCAGCACCGAATTCCCCCGACCCGCCCTAGGGGAACCAAACCCCGCACCCAGCGGACCCAGGGCGCCCGCATGGAAAATCCAAACTTTGTGCCTTGGCACGTAAACCACGACCACCTCCTTGTCATCCCGAACAACGCCACCCTCGTGCAACACCTACCCACGCATTGTTGATGCGCGCCCCAGGGGCTGCATGCTCGGCAGATCCAGACGGATCCCGAATGCCACGGGCACACCTTTCGTCGGCAGGTACCATCCTGGCTAGCTCGAGCAGTCCTAGCCGCGGCACCCAAGCAGCCTGATCTTGCCCTCCACCGCACACGGCCGCCTTTGCCCCCCCCCCAATCCGTGAGGTCGGCAAAACCGTGCGAATGTGTGTGTATGACTATGTGTATGTGTATGTGTATATGTGTATGTGTATGTGTATGTGTACGTCCATGTGTATGTGCATGTGTATGTATATGTGTGCGGGCGCGGGCGTGGGGCGTGGGGCGTGGGCGCGGGGGTCAGCGTGGGCGTGGGCGTGGGCGTGGGGCGTGGGCGTGGGCGTGCGCGTGGGCGTGGGGCGTGGGGCGGGGCGTGGGGCGTGGGGCGCGGGGCGCGGGTGTGGAGCGAGGGGCGTGGAGCGTGAAGCGTGGGGCGTGAAGCGTGGGGCGTGGGGCGAAGGGCGTGGGGCGTGGGGCGGGCAAAGGGCGTGGGGCGTGGGGCGTGGGGCGTGGGCGTGGGCGTGGGCGTGGGCGTGGGCGTGGGCGTGGGCGGCGTGGGCGGGCGTGGGCGTGGGCGTGGGCGTGGGCGTGGGCGGGCGTGGGCGTGGGCGGATGCGGGTGCGCGTGCGGGTGCGGGTGCGGGTGCGGGTGCGGGTGCGGGTGCGGGTGCGGGTGTATGTGCGGGTGTATGTGTGTGTTGTTTGTGTGTATTTGTATAGTGTGCATTTCTGTGTGTGCGTGCGTGCGTGCGTGCGTGCGTGCGTGCGTGCGTGCGTGCGTGCGTGCGTGCGTGCGTGCGTGCGTGCGTGCGTGCGTGCGTGCGTGCGTGCGTGCGTGCGTGCGTGCGTGCGTGCGTGCGTGCGTGCGTGCGTGCGTGCGTGCACGCGCGCGGGGGCGCGCGGGCGCGCGCCGGCGCGCGGGCGCGCGGGCGCGCGGGCGCGGGGGCGCGCGGGCGCGCGGGCGCGCGGGCGTGCGTGCGTGCGCGTGTGCGTGCGTGCGTGGGTGCGTGGGTGTGCGGGTGCGCGGGTGCGTGTGTGTGTGTGCCTGTGTGTCTACGTGTGTCTGTGTGTATGTGTGTATGTGCGTTTGTGGGGGGGGCGGGAGGGAAAAGAGAAGAAGAGGGCGAGGAGGAGGAGAGGGCGGGAGGAGGATAGGGCAGGAGGAGGAGGAGGAGAGGGCAGGAGGGGAGGGCACGAGGAGGGGAGGGCAGGAGGAGGGGAGGGCAGGAGGAGGAGAGGGCAGGAGGAGGAGGAGAGGGCAGGAGGAGGAGGAGGAGGAGGAGGAGGAGGGGAGGGCACGGGGACAAGGAGGGGGAGAGCCTGCAGGCCTCCAGCGCGAGCCTGCAGGCCAAACTACCGAGCCGGGCCGAGGGGAAGGGGGCCGAAGAGTGAGGGGGGGGAGGAGGGGGGAGGAGCACGAGGAAGGAGCGGGAAGAATAAGCAGGAGGGAGCAGGAGCAGGAGGAGGAGGAGCAGCAGAAGGAGGAAAGGGAGGAGAAGGATACGGAGGAGTGACAGGAGAAGAAGGAGGAAGGAGAATGAGGAGGGTAAGGGCGGAGGAGTCGCGGGCCCACCTGACACCCGTCGCTGCCTTTGTCGACGTAGTCCTGGGTAAAAGGAGGGCAGGGAGGCAGCAAGTCCAGGATAGCATGGAGGACTCAGGGATGCAAGGAGCGAAAAGAGGACGAACCATGATAGAACAACTCTGTCGACCGTGCTGGACAAGCGCATGAGATTTATATATATATATATATATACATATATATATATATGGAAATATAGACATACCTAAACATACGAAACAAATATAATGTGAGAGAGGAAGGCCTGGAAAAATGGAGGTGCCTGGAGGCAGGGGAAGGTGGATGGACGCCAGGGGTGAGAAGGACGACAAAAAGGATAAGTCAGCAGAAGGTGGGGACCAGAACAAACAGGAAGGTGTCCTCGTGAGCCGCCCTGGGACCCTCTTGAGCCGTCCTGGGGCCCTTCTAGGCTGTCGTGCGGGGCTGTGGCCGTCCTGGGGCTCTACTGGAGGCCTCCCTTGGGGGCCTCGTGGGGCCCATCTCTGGCCGTGGTGGGAGCCCCTTGGGGCCTCGCGGGCCCATTTCTGGCCCATCTCTTGTCATCCCTTGGGCGGTCCTGGGGCCCCCATGGGACTGTCTGGGGGCCCTCTCTGGCCGTCCAGGGGCGATTCGTCGCCTCCTGGGTCGTCTTGCTGCGATCCGGCAGGCCGTCGGAGCCGCCTTGGGCCGCCGGCTCCCCGAAGAGACGGGGCTCCAGAAACCTCCACGTGCTTTGCCTCCTCAGACCTCTCGGGGATCCTCTGGAGGGCCTGCTGGGCGCGCCGGGGGAAGCCTCGGGAGCCGTCCTGGGGCAGAATGGGGCCGCCTCGAGGCCTCTCGGGCGCTCTACGGCCCCTCGCGCGCTGTTCTTGAAGCGGTCCTGGGCCGCTCCAGTGCTCCGTGGGACCGTCCGGGAAGCGATCTTGAGCTCGATCGGGCGGTGGGAGCGCCCGGGGCCGAATGTATGTGCGGGGAGGGAGTCTCTTATGAGAGCATTCGGCAAGTGATGTGTATATATATATATATATATATTCGCATATACAAACGTGTGCACACTTAAATGTAATATTATGTGTTGTAACATAAAACAATGCCATATGGTAAAATCAGAAAAAAAAAAAAAAACATACGAAACGACGATATTATATAATTTAACAGCGAGTCCCCGAATATAGCACAACATGGTGTAATAGAAAATGAAATCATGTAACAGAACATGATGTAGTACAAAATTGCATAAGGAAATATCATACGCTAGAGATAACTAGACTGTAAATAGACATACGTGAGAGAGAGGGAGAGGCGCCTAGAATAATGGAAATGCTTGGAAACAGGGACGACATGAAAGATGAATCCAAACAGGACGGGAGCCAACACAAGGGGTGAGGGTGTCGGCTTGGCGAAAAACCTAGCGTGACCGCACAAGTCTCAGTTCTCGGCTGCCCATACAGGACCGAAAAGAATAACTAGACTCCTCAAACAATGCTTGCACTTTGGTGTGTTTAGTTTGTTTGGGGGGGGAGAAGGAGGGGCAAGCAGGAGGGGACGATCGCAACAGCTCTGGAGTCACCTGTGCAATCCGTGAGCGCAGGCGGCGCGCGGTGGCTTCCTGCGGCTTGAGGTTCAGGATGTGCTCCCCGATGACGAACCCGAGCTCCGGGAGCGCCTCCGCCCCGCCCCTGTGAGCCCGCGGTTCTCCTCCTCCTCCTCCTCCTCTTCCTCCTCCTGCTCCTGCTCCTCCTCCTCCTCCTCTTCTTCTTCGTCTTCTTATTATTATTGTTATTATTATTATTAATATTATTATGATTATTATTATGTGTCTTATTCTTCTTATTCGTCTTAGCATGCTTCATATTACTATTTTTATTATTATTTTTTATTATTATTAATAATATTATTACTAGCATTCTTATTAGTATTATTATTATTATTGTTATTCGTGTTCGTCTTCGTCTTCTTCGTATTATTATAAGTATGCTTACTAGTAGTCTTAATAGTAGTATTGTCCTTCTTATTGTTATTAGTATTCACGTTCTTATTACTCGTCGTATTCGTATTATTGTGATTCTTATTCGTCTTATAATTTATAAATATGAATAGTCTGATTAGTATTAGTAGTATTAGTCTTATTCGTAATAGTATTGACATTCTTCTTAGTATTATTATTAGTAATATTATTGTTATTATTCGTCTCATTCTCATTATCAGTAGCCTTCTTATTATTGTTATTCTTCCTACTATTATGCTTATTATTATTATTAGTGGAATTATTCTTATTATTAGTATGCTTATTCTTCTTCTTCCTCCTCCTCCTCCTCCTCCTCCTCCTCCTCCTCTTCCTCCTCCTCCTCCTCCTTCTCTTCGTCATCCTCCTCCTCCGTCTCGTCATCCTCCTTTTCCTCCTCCTCCTCCTCCTCCTCCTGCTCCTCCTCCTCCTCCTCCTCGTTCTACTCGTTTTCGTCCTCGTCCTCGTCCTCCTGCTCCTCCTGCTCCTCCTGCTCCTGCTCCTCCTCCTCCTCCTCCTCCTCGTCCTCCTCCTCCTCCTCCTCTTGTTCCTCCTCTTGTTCCTCCTCCTCCTCCTCCTCGTTCTACTCGTTCTCGTCCTCGTCCTCGTCCTCGTCCTCCTGCTCCTCCTGCTCCTCCTCCTCCTCCTCCTCCTGGTCCTCCTCCTCCTCATCATCATCAGCATCATCACCATCATCAGCAGCAGTAGCATCAGCCGTAGCAGCAGCAGCTTTATCAACAGAATCAGCATCAATATCAACATCAGCATCAGCATTAGCATCAGCACCATCATCAGCATCATCAGCATCAGAATCATCATCTGCATCAGCATCAGCATCATAATCAGCATCATCAGCATCACCATCATGACTGTCTCAGGCATGCTGCAAGGCGCTGGCACCTGTAGCGTAAGCCGCAGCCACATCCTCATCATCATCATCATAACCATCATCGTCAGCAGCATCATCGTCAGCAGCAGCAGCATCATCAGCAGCAGCATCATGAGCATCATCATCAGCAGCAGCAAACGCGTCATCAGCAGCATCAGCGTCCTCATCATCATCCTCGTCATCAGCATCAGCATGATCAGCATCGTCATCAGCGTCGACATCGTCATCATCAGCGTGATTATCATCATCAGTATCAGCATCATCCGCATCACAACAACCAACACCACGACCACCATCATCAGCATCATCACGACCCTCAACAACAACCACAATCACAACAGTCGGTGTAAGACTGGTCGCTCCCATCTGCTCGCGTGCCATTCAACACGTAGATCGCAATCCCTCGGTACCCGCCCGCTTCGATTTCGATCGTACCCCCTTGGGGGTATATCTTCCTTACCTGCCACGTGTGTTCAGTGCAGCCGCTAAGGCAGGGGAAGAAAGGACGGATGGACGGGGGAGGGAGAAGGATGGAACACGAGAGAAATGAGGACGAGAGGGCTAGGAACAGAAAACACGTGGCAAAACCCCTTTTCCGAACCTCAAGTATTCCTTATTTTAGCGTCTTCACTGTATCTTATGTTCCCCTCTCTCTCCCTCACTCTTTCTCTCTCCGTTCTTGCACGACAGACGAGTGCATCTGATCACAGACGAGTAGTTGGTTGCCGTGCACAAGAGGGCAGGAGCCGCAGTGACATAATCTAAGTAATTACGGCCTCCTGGATGGGGCCCGAATAAATGGAGTCGGGGGATTGTACCAAATCGCCGATGCATCGCCGATGCATCGGCGATAAATCGGAAATGCATCGGCGACGTCGGCGTAGAGAAGATCGGGCTTCACGTCCGACCCCATCCTCTCGGATCCATCTGGGAGGCCTCGAAAATACCCGGTGGCCGCCCCGGGGCCACAGATCGGCACCCCCAGGTCTCACCCTGCGCAAACAGGCCGCCGCGAGGTTCTCGCGACGCCCTGGCGTCAGCTGACCGCCGGGCCACCGTCTTGGAGCGCGCTCCGACCGGAGCCTCCTGGCGGCCTCGGCCGTGGCGACGAGGGCCCTCCAGGCGGCCCGAGTGGTCGAAAAGCCTACGGCCCGGAACTCTTCCTGAGCGTGTCGCGGCGGCGGCCCCGGCGGCACGCCATATACCCTGCGAGCCGATGCGCAGTGCAGGGGCCCGACCACCAGAGACCTTCCACGAGACACCCCGCCCTGAGACCCCAGGGCGTCCGTGGACTTCTGGCGTGGGAGCGCCGCGCCTCCCACAGCAGAGCCATCGGGAGGCAAGACACCCGGGGCGCCCCGAGGCCAGCAGGGCGATCCTTGGCATGGGCCCCCACTGCACAGCGCGCCGCTCCGCCCCACGGGGGTGGGCGGCCGGGAGCAGCTCGGGAGACCGACGCCCGGGGGCTGCGGCGCGCTTCGCTCGTCGCTCCAGGTTAAGCGTGGTGGGGCAGAACCGGCGGCGCGACCTCCTCCTCCTCCTCCTCCTGCTGCTCCTCCTCCTCCTCCTCCTCCTCCTCCTTCTCCTCCTCCTCCTCATCCTCCTCCTCCTCCTCCTCCTCCTCCTCCTCCTCCTCCTCCTCGGCCGCATTTCGTCGGCCGCATGTCGTCGTCCTTCTCGCCGCCCCTCGCCAACCGCAGCAGACGGGCCCTCCGGAGCCCCGGCCCCTCGTTGTAGTTGGAGCAATCGCTCTGCACGTGCAGCCGGCGCGAGAGCTCGTTGATCACGTCGGTCGGGCCAGCCTGCCCCTCCGTCTCCGCTACTGACTACCTACCAGACCACCCCAACCCAACCCGAAGACCCGAATTTCGGGTGGGGGGGGGGTTAAGGGTTCCACGTGTTTTTTCTATGTTTCCCGACCCCCCCCCCCCCTGGAAATCGAGGGTAAATCTGAGCCTTCGGGTCGGGTTGGGGTGGTTTGGTGGGTGGTGAGCTACCCACCCACCCCGCGCCCCCCGGGCAGCGCCCTCCGCGCCGCACACAGGTCGACGAGCTGGCCACACTGGCCGCAGGGATAAAGTGCTCTGTTCCGACCTTCCGCCGGAGGGAGACAGAGAGAGGGAGAGAGAGAGAGAAGGGGGGGAAGAGAGAGAGAGAGAGAAAGAGAGAGAGAGAGAGAAAAAAAAAAAAAAAAACAGAACGAAACAAAGGAAGATAAATATAAAAACGCGGGGGACAGGAAACAAAGAAAGAGAAAGAGCAAGCCGAAAATCCAGAAAAAAAATGGAAAGAAGAAAAACCGGAGAACCAGGCCCGCAAGCTGGAAAAAAACGGGAAAGGAAACCAAGAAAGAGAAAGAGCCGAAAAAGAGAGGAAAACCTGCCCCCTACCCCCATCGGCCATCTGCCTCCAGCATACTCCTTCATGATAAACTCCTCCTCCTCCTCATCCTCCTCCTCCTGATCCCGTCCCCGGGCTCGATGATCCTCATGACGCGCGTTGGCACCGACGTGTGGTTGGTGCAAGCAAGGCCGACACAGGCTGCCTGCGATCGGTGGAGCTCACGGGGTGAAGACACACTGGGATAACACACGCACGTCCTCAGGATCACCGACTGGCGCAGACCCTGGGGAAACCAAGAGATCCCGGTGCCGCTACTCCCCGGGCCACGGACCTCTCCCAGGGTGCATTCTGACCAGAACTTCGAGGCACATACAGCTGCGGCAGCGAGGGCCTCCCAGGAGGCCCAAGAAGCGAACACGAGGCAAGGGCAGCGGTACCGGTACGGCCGGGCTGCTGAAATGGGGAAGGACAAACAAGAAACAAAGCCCGCTTCTGGCCCCTGAAGCGACTGCGTGCACGAGGAGGGCTCGAGGAACAGCCATGGAAGGACAGAAGGAACCCCGAGCCCCCGCCGAACCTAAACTTTCCCTTCTTTCAGCGTCCCCTGAGATCCGACGCTGCAAAAAAATGCAATATCGCAAACAAAAATCACAACCAAGGCCCCGGACCCCATCTTGCTGCGTCATTTTTCGAGCCGGATCGATCTGCGAGGGTCCCGGGGCCCGAAGTTGAGCGAAAACGCCCGTTGTGAAAAGACTGCAACGCCAGGATCTCAGGGTCCTGACTGTGCCCTTCTCTCCTCCGAAGCCCGCCCCCCTCCAGCTGGGAGGTGCCGGTGTCCACGGCGACCTGGCAGCCCGCGCAGAGGGCCTGGGGCTTGTGGTTGATGGCGATGTCCTTGATCTGCACCTCCGGGGGGGCTCTGGCGCAGGCCTGTCCCTCTAAAGGGGGCATATCCAAAAATAGCCACAACATAGTCTGGGGACTATTTTTGGACAATTGTTTAGCTATTTTTGGTGTATTTTCTGACGATTTGGGATTTTTCGCCCAGAATCTCCCTGTAGGGGGACAGGCCTGACTTAGGCCTCGGGGGCCGATGCTCGCGCCGCGAACGCAACAAGCCAAGGAGAGCAATCATCGTGTCGCGAGGAAGGGGCTGGGAGGATGAAGGGCATGAGAAATAGCATCCGGATGCAATGAACGATGCCTTCGGCCGCATACAGATAAGGATGTCCTCATTTCTTCCAACCCCATCCTCCAAATGCGGGAACTGTCTTCCTGGCAAGCACGACGTCGGGAAGTAGTTCCTAGGATGCCCTCGCAAGAACGCTTCAGGGCTGAAGCCCGACTCAGGGGCCACTACTAGAAGAAGGAGAAGAAGAATGAACTTCATTCACATAAACTTTTGGCGCTTCGCGCTGATGTCTTGAATCTGCGCTGACACCCCCTCCCTGGCGCGTGGAGCGCGCCAGGGGAAAGTTTATTTCTGTGCAGATGTTATTGTTTGAACTACACATGATAAAACCAGACTACGGTCAGGAGCTTTTGCTTAGCGTGTCGCGGCGGCTGCCCCAGCGACACGCTGTGCCCTGCAATCGGGACAGGAGGCTGGGAAAGGCTCGGGACGTTGACGCTTGGGAGTTGGGAAGTTATCCAGAAGTTCTCGATCGCAAGCCCAGGATTAAGCCTGACTAAGCGGGATTAAACGATGCTGAGCGGAGCGGAATGAAGAGGGACTGTACAGGATTAGGTTCGACCACAGACGTACCAGCGCCGATGCTGAATAGAACCTCCCAAGCGTTGCATCCATAACGACGGCATATGCTTGCCAACTTTCGGCCCCTGGGGGCCCTTGCCAGGCCCCCGGCCCGTCCGAAGACGACCCAGGATGGAAAGGCCGGTCCCTGCGAAGGGGTCCAGGAGATAGCTCATGGTTTCTTTCGGCGATAGCTGGACAAGCGCGTTCCGCTACTCGCAAAGTGGCTGCTCGCAAATGGCCCAGATCCGCCGCGGATATTTTTACGACACAGTACATACAGAGGGAGACAGATCTTTCTGACGTCTGCGACTATAGGCACTCTGCGAATAGCGGAACGCGCCCGGTGAATCATCCTGGCTCCCGGCGGGGGGATCGGCTACACGCAAGAGTGACCCTGGGTAAAAGTGACCTTTGGTGCGCGGCTTTTTGGGGGGCCGCGGGGAGACCAAACCTGGGCGCGCAGGCCGCTGCTACCGCTGCGTTTTCAGCCATCTGAGGGCCCATCTGTTCCCGCACCAAAGGTCACTCCGGCGAAAGGTCACTCTTACGTCTAGTCGAGGGGAGCATACGGGGGGGCCGAGGTGCCGGTCGACCACCCGAAAGCTGCTCGCCCTGGGCAGCCCCCCCCCGCATGCCCGAGCGCACCCAGCATATGCTGCGCACCCCCCGCCGGACCCGCGCAGGCCCGACGGGGTCGAGCCATCCGGGGAGGGGGGCGCGCGGGCGGGCCCGCTGACCCGGGTGATGGCTCGGGGATCTTCTGACCCGGGTCAATCCAGACCCGGGTCAGCGGGAAACCAATAAATTGCAATGCAGGAAAAAAACTGCAACGCAGGTCTTCGCAAACCCGGGTCGACCAATATGCGCGGCCGCCTCGCGGCCACGAGCGGCTCGCTAACCCGGGTCAGCCAGAGGAGGTCTTCGCAGGATCCTGCAGGATCCGGTGCCCTGGCTGACCCCCGTGTGCACTGACCCCCGTCTCGAGGCTCCCGAAGCCCGACAGGGTCGAGCCATCCAGGGAGGGGGGCGCGCGGGCGGGCCCGCTGACCCGGGTGATGGCCGGACCCTGGACAAAGCCGGTCTCCAAAATGCTCGTTGCCCCTCTCGGCCCCCTGGGGGCCTCGGCCCCCTCCGCGCCCGCCGGCCGCGCCGCCCGCGCCCCCGCCAACGACAAGCGTGGCCGTGATGGTTATCTGTGGTGGGAGAGAACAGAACAGAACAAACAAGAAAGGCAACAAAAAGATCGAACACCCAAAAATCAAAAATTGTCAAAAAGTACTAACAAGCAAAAGCGTCCCCGGTATGAAAGATGAAGGATGAAGCACGAGAAGGAAGACAAGGCGAGAGCAGCGCTGTTCGGCCCGCCTGCCAGTACCCGGTGTCGCGGGACACGGGCTGCCAGAACATGGCCGAGGCCATGTGCTCCTGGAGGGCAGAGGAGAAGGAACGGTCTGCAAACATTATACACATGTATGCATACATGGTCGACGATCGATGTACCCACGTACACGAGCATGCATGCATGCCTCTTGTTGTGTTACCTATGTAAAGATAAGTTTCTACACATATCTGTAGAATTAGATGCAAATGTGTGAACCAGCGTGAACCCTCAGACAGTGTGTTTCGAGCAATCGGTTGTGCAAAATATGTGGTGCGGTATGTGGTGCAGTCTACGTTGTGCAACAAATGTTGTGCAATAGATGGTGTGCAGTCTATGGAATGCAGTCTTTCTGGGGCGTGATGCAATATATGCTGTCCACTCCGACATGCGCAATATACGTGGTGCAGTATGCGTGGTATCATCTATGTGGTGCGCCATCTATGTGGTGCAAGCGACGCGGTGTAATCTGCGTGGCGGTATATATGAAATTACATAGGTGTTGTGCAAGCTACGTGGTGCAGCTTGCGTGGTACAATATGTGTGGTACAGCCCTGTACGCTCCGTGGCCGTTTTCGAGGGGGAGCCTCCGTGGAGTGCGTTTCATGACGAAGCCCCGAGCATGGCGGGTGCGTGCACTGGTACCGCACTCGTGCAGTGCGCGAGCGAGTGGCGATTCACGACGCTTACGTTCGTGATGGCCAGCTGCCCGCAATCAGAAACGTCCGTTGAGACGGTGCTCGATCCCCACATTTTCCGTGACCCCTTCCCACCCCCTGTAACCATAAAATGCAGCGCCTGCTCAACAGACGTTCCCAAGTGGCTTCTGGAACGCTGTCCGCACAGATGCCCGTCGCAAGGTGACTCTCGACACCCCCCTGCTAGCTGATGCGACCCCACGGCCCCTGCTTACGTGTCCGTGCCTGAACGCAGACGAGCACGGGAGGAATTGCTTGAGATCCTCCTCCTCCCCCTCCTCCTCCTCCTCCTCCTCCTCATCCTCTCCCCCGCAAGAGAGAGACAGAGAGAGAGAGAGAATGAGTGCTGGAGGATGGGAGCGTGCAACAGGCGTGCGAGCTCCGGTTTACGACCCCAGCGCGGTGGCGGGATCAGCCGAAGCCCATGATGCACACATATGTCTATGTACACACGTTCTTAGCACATACACACATGTATAATTTACACATATGAATGCACATAGTATGTAGATATAGATGTATATAGATATATAGATGTACATACATGTACGCATGCAAATACATTCATGCAGATATACAGATGTGCATACACTGATGATACGCAGTACAGGCATACATAAATGTATGCATATATGTTTATATGCACACATACATATATAACACAACCATACATGCACACGTACTTACATACGTACTTGCTTACATACACATACATACACACATGCATATATAGATATATATATATATATATATATATATATATATATATACCGACATGCAGACAGATATAACTCAGAGCGAGCTCGGACTCTGGTCACCCACCCAGTAACACATTTCGGCCTCCCCTAGCCTCCTGGACGCCCCATGCAGAGTGCTTCCTGCGCCTTGGGGGGTTCCTGGACTTCCCGGCTGATCATCGAGAGCGGGCCCAGGGCAGTCAGGAGTGTGGCCAAACGGCCGACATTGAGGGACCGAGGTGCATGGCGTGAAGCGATAGTGCAGTCTTGTATACATTTATATATGTATGTGCGTCTACGCATCAACTTGTGAAATGATTATGAAAGTGTATGTAAGCATGCATGCATACATACATACATGCATGCATGCATACATGCATGCCAGCAAAAATATATGCAGTCACATTCAAACATACATGCATTCAAACATACATACACCTGTACACACATGAACACATTACAAACATACAAACATGTCAAGGCGTGGCATGGCATGGTATGCCATACCATAACGTAGCATAGCGTAGCATAACAAAGCATACCGTGAGTCCAGACATGCATACATGCATACACACATCCATGCATCCATACGTACATACATACCCACACAGAAAGAGAAACACAGAGAAACAGAGAGACAGAGAGAGAGAGAGACAGAGAGAGAGAGAGAGAGAGAGACAAAGCCGAACGGCCGCGCTCCTGCTTGATGTCCCCGAAGGTGATCTCCGAGCTCTCCGCGGCGGAGTCCTGGCGCCCCGCGCCCCCGCCGCGGCGGCGGCGCAAAAGGCCGCCGCTGGGGCGCCCGCCGCCAACGGGCCCGCCTGCGCGCGCGGGGCGGCGCACCCGCCGCGCCGCCAGGGCCGTCCTCCTCCTCCTCCTCCTCCTCCTCCTCCTCCTCCTCCTCCTCCTCCTCCTCCTCCTCGTTCTCCTCCTCCTCCTCCTCCTCCCCCCCCTCCTCCTCCTCCTCCTCCTCCTCCTCCTCCTCCTCCTCCTCCTCCTCCTCCTCCCTCCTCCTCCTCCTCCTCCTCCTCCTCCTCCTCCTCCTCCTCCTCCTCCTCCTCCTTCTCCTTCTCCAGGACTCCAGCTGTGCGGCGCGGCGAGCCGGGCGCCCAACACGCCGCCGCCGACAGGCGTGCGCGCTCCGCTGCTCGCAGGAGCAACTGCTCGCGCATGGCCCAGAGCCGCTGCGGGGGATCCACGATCTATGTGACTCATGGCCCATCGGTCGAAGGTGCAGGTTGAGGCATGAACCAGGTAGGCGTTGAGACTAGCTTGGATTTCTGCCCGCCCCCTGAAGAGAACGGAAAAGGTGAAGACACTCGATCATTGAAGTAGAAATGCGCCTAAAGTAGATTGGAACCTGGGAATCCCAAAATACCTACGTTCGATGACCGACGGGCACATCGAGGCAGATCTGGGTTTCTTGGACGTTTGCGAGTAGACACTTTGCGAGCAGTGGAGCGCGCTAGGTGAGCCTAGAAGAAAAACAAAAAACAAAAAAAACATAAACAGAATTTGTTGGCGCTCCGCGCGGATTTCTAGGATCTGCACTGGACCCCCCTCCCTGGCGCGCGGAGCGCGTCAGGGGCGGCGCCGGAGGCGCCACCAGGGGGGCCCAGCGCGGATCCAAGAAATCCGCGCGGAGCGCCGAAAGTTTATGTTTATGGCGTCTTTTTTCTTCTTCGAGTAGACTTAGGTCTGGCATCTCGGACGAAACAATATCTTTAAAGTAAATGTAAAGATGCTCAAGGATAGTAAAAAAATCGTCCCCATCTTATTTGTTGACTATTTGGGAAATTTTCATCCTGTAAAGGGACACGCCCGACTTAAGAGCAGACTCTCTGCGAGCAGTGGAGTGCGCTCGGGGACTCGGGCGCCGCTGCCCGGGCTCGGCGCGCCGAAGGGCCGCCGCCGCCGAGGGTGCTGGCCCCCTCCCCGCGCTGAAGGCTCTCCGCCCTTCCGCGGCCCTCCGCCGCCGGGAGGGGCGGCGCCGCCGGAGGCTCCATGGGGCCTCGGCGCCGTGTGGTGCTCCTCCTCCTCCTCACTCCTCCTCCTCCTCCTCCTCCTCCTCCTCCTCCTCCTCCTCCTCCTCCTCCTCCTCCTCCTCCTCCTCCTCCTCCTCCTCCTCCTCCTCATCCTCATCCTCATCCTCATCCTCATCCTCATCCTCATCCTCCTCATCCTCATCCTCCTCCTCCCCACCCCCTACAGGAGGCTCCAGGGTGCCCTCAGGCTCCAGGTGGCTCCTTCTTCGTCACCATCAGCGTCATACGTGGAGGCCAGTCCACACGAAGCCTTACACGAGAAACCCGACCCTGAGACCCCAGGGCGTTCATGGATTCTGGTGAAGGGACGCACGCTTTCCACAGCAAAACCATCGAAACCCAAGAAACCCAGGGCACCCTGGAGACAAACAGGGTGATTCTTGGCATGGGCCCCCACTGCAATCGGCATCACCGCCATCGGCCACCGACAGCACAAGCCTGGCAACCCTCGCCGTCGCCGCGTCACGACCGCCATCGCCTTGGTCACCTTCGTCGTTCACTCGGGGGTGTGCAAGCATGGATTAGCGATCCATGGCTTTGGTGCGCGGTCGCCAAATCCATGAACCCGGGGAGGCGCCGTCCCCAAAATGCGGCCGGTGCCGCCTCGCTCGGCGGCGGAAATCCGCGATTTCCCATGGAGACGGGACCCGTGGCTAATCCACGCGCCAGTGATCCATGTTCGAGATCGCCTTGGTCACCTTCGTCGTTCACGCCGAGCCGCCGGTGAACCCTCGGTCCGAGAGGAACACGGAGAACAGCGGCTTCTTCAACGCTTTGCCACTGAGCAGCCGGTCCATCACGCTGAACTCGGGGCCTTGCCACAGCCCACCAGCGCGCGAGAGCGGCATGCAGAGAGGAAGAGGGAGGAGGGGGAGGAGGGGGCGAGGACGAGGGCGGCGAGGAGGGCAAGGCAGGAGCGAGCGAGGACGAGGAAGCGGGGAGAGGGGGAGGATGGCGGGCAGGAGCGACGAGGATCCGCTGGACGCGCGCAGGGACGAGGCAGGGGAAGAGAGGCGGCAGTGGCAGCTGCGCCGCCCCGCCCGTCCGCCTCTGTGCCGTGCCCCACTGGGGGAACGAAGAATGACACAAACAGAACACCTCGGAGGCCCGCCCATCAGATCAAGTTCGATTTCCCATCGAAAACCTGAGGAACACCTAAGGCAAGCTGTGAAGCAATCAAGGAACACGGAGCCCCTCCCCAACGAGAAGGGTTCCTTCTTCAGCGCCCCGACTGTAAACAGAAAACCTCGGAGGTCCGCGCAGATGTCTCGGACCGGCGCTGGACCCCCCTCCCTGGCGCGCGGAGCGCGCTGGGGGCGGCGCCGGAGGCGCCGCCAGGGGGCCCCAGCGCCGATGCGAGAAATCCGCGCGGACCTCCGAGTTTTTTTGTGTTTGTGTCATTCTTCATTCCCCTACTTACCCCTCCTGGTGCGTAATGCTGCCTGGCAAGATTTTGGAAGTGTTGTAGTGCCTCGCTTGGTCGGTTTTGGGGCCATCCCCTCCCCCTCATCCTCCTCATCCCCCCCCCCTGTAGAATGCCAAATGCTGCCTGGCAAGATTTTGAAGATGCTGTAAGGCCCCGCCCACTCTTCTGACACTTCCTTCCGTGCCTCGCCCTCCCCATCCCGGGGCTCCCGATGGGTACCACGACGCCCCCCCTGACGCTCTCTAGGGCCTCCAGGAGAGTCCAAGATGCCTTCCAAGACGGCCCAGGCATGCCAGCAAGGGCGCCAAGATGTTCCAAGATGCCTGTTCCAACGCGCTTCTTTTTATGAGTTTCGCGTTCCCGCCTCGGCCCAAGAGGCACCCAAAATTGTCCAAGAGGCCATCAAGACGGCCCAAAACGGGCCAAGGAGCCCCAAGGAGGCCCAAGGAGGCCCAAGAGACCCTCAAGACGACCCTTGACGGCCTCAACGAGAGCCCAAAGACTGACCGCGAAGGCGCTAGAGTACCCGAGGCCGCACCAAGACGGCCCAAAGAGCCTCCTAGAAGCCCCGAGAGGCCCCCAAGACGCCCCCAAGAGGCCTCCTAAAGGTTCCAAAGACGCCCCCAAGAGGCCTCCAAGAGAGAAGGAGGGAAAATGAAGAGGGGAAGAAGACGACGACGAACACGAGGAGAGACACCCCGGCATGCCAGGAAAGAGTGTGTCACACTTCACGGCTCTCTGAAGGCGGAGGACGAGCGGTGCTGCACATTTACGGCGTCTGGGCATCGCTCCAAGAGCCGTCACAGACGGCCCTCTGATAGCCCGAGACAGCCCAAACAAGCCTCGCGAGAGCCCATCGAAGTCGAGACGATAGGTGTCACGTGTGACGGCGCTCCGGGTGATGATCCCGAAGGTCGCCAAACAGAGTGGTTCGCTGGCACGGTGGCGGATTTGCCGCAGGCTGCTATGCCTGTTTGTTTCCAGCACGTAGCAAGATGTCTGTGCAATTATGTACATCGGTATGTATGTATGTATATAGGCATATGTCTGTGTATATATATATATATCACATATGTGTGAATATATATATATATATGCATGGCCCCCCTCGCCTTCTTCCTCCTCCTCCTCCTCCTCCTCATCCTCCTTTTCCTCCTCCTCCTCCTCCTCCTCCTCCTCCCCTCCCCCTCCCCCTCCCCCTCTTCATCTTCCTCCTCCTCCTCTTATTCTTCTTCTTATTATTATTACTCTTATTATTATTACTATTAGTATTAGTCTTATTATTCTTCTTATTCTTATTATTATTAGTCTTAGTACCATTATTAGTATTGTTATTATCATTTCTGCTTCCTCTTATGATTATTATTCTTCTTATTAATAGTATTATTCTTATTAGTCTTATTAATAATATTATTCGTGTTAGTCTTATTAGTCGTCTTCTTATTATTATTATGCTCATTCGTCGTATTAGTCTTATTATTCTGCTCACTGGCATTCTTCTTCGTATTATTAGTATTCTTACTATTGGTATTAGCATTATTGTTCTTCTTAGTATTCTTATTATGCTTATTCCTGTTAGTAGTATTCTTATTATTATAACTGTTCGTTTTAGTATTATGCGTCGTCGTATACTTCTTAGTGTTCTTAGTATTATTATTATTGTTCTGAGTAGTATTCTTCGTATTAGTAGTATTATTCGTCGTCTTATTATTCTTATGAGTAGTCTTATTAGTATTGGTATTAGTCTTCTTATTATTCTTATTCGTAGTATTCGTCTTCTTCGTATTCGTATTATTACTATTGTTCTTATGTTTATTATTTGTAGTATTATTATTATTCTTATTATTCGTAGTATTAGTCGTCTTCTTAGTATTACTATTATTATTATGCTTCCTCCTCCTCCTCCTCCTCCTCCTCCTCCTCCTCCGCCTCCGCCTCCGCCTCCTCTCCTCCTCCTCCTCCTCCTCCTCCTCCTCTTCCTCCTCCTCCTCCTCCTCCTCCTCCGCCTCCGCCTCCTCCTCCTCCTCCTCCTCCTCCTCCTCCTCCTCCTCCTCCTCCTCCTCCTCCTCCTCCTCCTCCTCCTCCTCCTCCTCCTCCTCCTCCCTCATCACCTTTTTTTTTTCTGTGCGAGTGGCAAGGCAGGTGGAGCCCAACGCCGACGGAGAGCGTGCACGCTGCCGCAAAAAGGCAATCAGGAGAGGCCCGCCGAGCACGGACACGCTCGGCTTGGGGCACCGAGAGGCCTGGGCGCTGGATTTCGAAAGCAGATTCAATACACTGGAGGAGGAGGAGGAGGAGGAGGAGGAGGAGGAGGAGGAGGAGGAGGAGCAAAAGAAACCTTCCACAAGAAACCCAGCCCTGGAACCCAACGAGGTCCCTGGATTTCTGGTGTGGAAGCGTCAGGCTTTCCGTCGCAAAACCATTGCAAGGCCCAAGAGAACCCAGGGCGCACGCTGGAGGCAAGCAGGGTGATTCCTGACATGGGCCTCCAGTGTACCCAAAACAGGGTCGGCTGCTGGCTGCCCATCTGGTGCAGATTTGCACCCTGGATGTGTTTTCACGGTCCAGGGGCCCGAAAATAGCCCCCCGGAGGCCGAAAAAGGGGGGGAGGAAAACAAAAAGGAACTCAGAACCTCGAACCTGCCCGCTGTTCCTGCTAGCCAGAACTAGTGCTGGACCATCTCGGAACCCCAGACAGCTCCAAGTGGCAATGTAACGGACCTGCAAATGTCGGAAAGAGCGTGTTCTACCGCTGCTGGCGGAAAACAAGGGGGGGTCACTACCGGTTCGAACCCCCCCCCCTCCGGAAAACCGGGGTACGCTACCGGTTCGAACCCCTCTCCCCCACCCCTCCAGTCCATCATGAAAAGGGGGGTGGGGTCACTACCAGTTCGAACCGCCCCACCCCCCTCCCCCTCAAAAACCAGGGGGGGTCACTACCGGTTCGAACCCTCCCCCCCTCGAAAACCGGGGGGGGGGGGGAAGAGCTCCCCCTCAACTAAACCCCCCCCCCTCCGGAAAACCGGGGTACGCTACCGGTTCGAACCCCTCTCCCCCACCCCTCCAGTCCATCATGAAAAGGGGGGTGGGGTCACTACCAGTTCGAACCGCCCCACCCCCCTCCCCCTCAAAAACCAGGGGGGGTCCTACCGGTTCGAACCCTCCCCCTCTCGAAAACCGGGGGGGGGGGGGGCGGACAGTGGTGGGGACGGTGGTGGTGGGGACGGTGGTGGTGGGTACAGTGGGGACAGTGGGACAGTGGTGGAGACAGTGGGGAAAGTGGGGAGAGTGGGACCGTGGTGGGACAATGGTGGGGAGAGTGGGGACATTGACACACTGGTGGGGGCACTGGTGGGGACAGCGGGGACGATGGTGGGAACAGTGGGGACAGTGGGACGGTGGTGGGTGGTGGAAACAGTGGGACAGTGGAGGGTACTGTGGTGGTGAGGACAGTGGTGAAGGCGGTGGCGAGGACGGCGGTGGGACAATGGGACAGAGGTACAGTGGGGACAGTGGTGGGGACAGTGGGGACAGTGGTGGGAATAGTAGTGGGACAGCTCAGTGGGACAGCGGAGGAGACAGTGGGACAGTGGGGACAGTGGTGATAGTCGGGCAGTGGTTGGGGCCGTGGAAAAAGTGGGGAGAGTGGAACCGTGGTGGGAACAGTGGTGGGGACAGTGGGGACAGTGCGACAGTGGTGGGGGCACTGGTGGGGACAGTAGGGACGGTGGTGGAACCAGTGGGGACAGTGGTGGTGAGGACAGTGGTGCTGGGAACAGCAGTCGAGGATGTGGTGCGGACGGTGGTAGGGACCGGGAGTCGTTAGCTGGCGGTGAAGGCGGGGGGGCTCGAACCGGTAGTGACCCCCCCCCCGGTTTTCGAGGGGGGGGGGGGGGTTCGGAACCGGTAGTACCTTCCTATGGTTTTCTGGGGGGAGGGGGGGGGAGGTTCGAACCGGGGAAGGGGGGAGGGTGGGGGGTCGAACGGTAGTGACCCCCCCCGGTTTTCTGGAGAGGAGGCGGGGGAAGAGGGGTTAGGGGAGGGGGGGGGGTTTGCCAGGGGAGGGGAGGGGGGGGTCCAGCAGGGGGGGGATTTTCGGAGAGGGGGGGGGGGGACCCCAGGGTTCCAGAGGAAGAGGGGGGGGGGGGGGGGGGGGGGGGAGAATTTTCCACAGTAAAGCGGCGGTAGATCACGCTCTCTCAAATGTCGGGAGCGGCCAAGAGGGGGGCGTCCAAGGGGGGGCGGAGCGCAAATCATGGCCGGCGGCATGTGCGCGGCCCCGGGGGGAACCGGGGACGCATCGAAACAAGAAGAAGCGACATGAAATATGGCGAAATATCATGGCCCCCACCGTGATATCCTACCCCCCCCAGTCATCACCTCCCTCTTGGCCGCCCCGAAGATAAGAGCGACGACGGCACTCGTTGTTACGATTAAGTCGGGCGTGTCCTCCTACAGGGGGCTGTTGGACGAAAAATTGGAAATACTCAAAAAATAATCAAACAAAAGGTCATTCTTAGAATAACAGAAAGGAAGAACAAAAAATCGTCCCCATACTATGTTTGACTATTTTTGAATATTCCTCCTGTAGAGGGACACGCTCGACTTAACGCTACGAGTCGCCTGCCATCATGTCACACACACACACACATCACGTGCACCGCCTCTGCCCGCCCCGGGGGCCCTGCGACATCTGCGGCAGGGCCAGGCCGAGGACGCCGTCAAAGTTGAACGAGGTGAACGGGTCGTCCGTCTTGCAGGGGAGGGGGGAGGCCCTCTCGGAGCACTCGATCTCTACGAGTCGTGTGGGCAAGGCCGTCAAGCTGCCCTCCGTCTTCTGATGATCATGCGTATGGTGATGACGATGATACGCCACTTTATCTCCCAAGCGTTCCCCTATCATCTCGATATATTTATCGTGTTCTCTGCCTCGCTCTCTATTTCTCTCTCTCTCTCTCTCTTTCTCTCTCTCTCTCTCTCTCTCTCTCTCTCTCTCTCTCTATATATATATATGTACATATATATATATATACATATATGTCGTTCTCTGCTCTCTCGCTCTACCTCTCTCTCTCTCTCTCTCTTTGTATCTCTCTCTCTCTCTCGCTATACATGTGTGTATAAACATCTATATATATGTGTATACACATGTATAGACTCACACATAGCAACATCCACCCCAACCCCACTCTCCATATCTCTCTTTGAATACATCCATGTGTATCTATATCTGGTTTCAATTATTCGGCTGCGTTGTGTCAGGATGACAGCAGTTGACCCCAGCGGGACGCCCTGCGATGGGCCTGCACCTTTTGGCTGCCCAACTAAACAATGACAGGGTGCTTCCTTGATGTATACGTATATACATATAATATATATATATATATATATATATATATATATAATACAGATGCACCTAAATATATATATAGTATGTGCCAAGTAAGGCGCATAGCGAAGCCAGTGATGAAACAGAATATGTGCACACACACCTCTGTACAAGCGTGCTGGGCACAGGGGCGCAGGCTGTACAAGAGGACGGCTAAACGACGGCCAGCACTGCGTCGGGCCGACGACCCAGATACATCTATACATATATATATATATATACATATATATGTATGGATAGAAATGTGTGTCTACATGTCTGTATACGTGTATATAAATATGTATGGAGATGTGTATATACGCCGTTGTGTCCATGTGGCACGAAGTGGGGTGTCCCCAGATCTCTTGCTCAACCCCGGAGCCTCAGTCTTCAAGGCTGATGAGTCTTTAAGGGGTCCGGACCCCTAGCTCTCAAATCTCCTCGGGTCCCCGGCGTGCGCCCCACGGCTCCAGGAGTGCCTCCTGAAGCCCGCTGCGTAGTCCTGCACAACTGTTTCGGGCCAAAGAGGGCCCCAAGACGGCCAAGAACGCCCCAAGAGGCCCCCAAGACGGTCCAGGAGGGCCTCGAACCGCCGCACGATCTGTCCAAGACGCCCAAGATGGCTCCAAGACGGCCCAAGAAGCCTTCGAGGCGCCAAAAGAGAGCCGCGAGAGCCTTCCGACGTTTGGCTGCATAGGCGTTCCCAAAAGGCAGGGGGCGGCGGTGATCTGCCGTAGACGTCGTCCATATACATATATAATACATAGACGCATGCCAATACAGACATGTACATGTTCCCACTTGCATCTACATATGAATGTACAGATACGTATACACATAAATATACATGTGCACGTACACACCCGCCGATGTAAACATTATATAAATATAGATACATATATATAAATATATATATATGTGTCAGAGCAAGGGCGCTGAACGGTCATTCATTGTCCCTAGGTGCGCGGCTGAAGTGAGAATCGGTGGTGCGGATAATGCTTGTTGCGTTGTTGGTGTTGCTGTTGATGTTGGTGTTGTTGGTGTTGTTGTTGGGGTTATTGGTGGTGTTGTTGGTGGTGGTGTTGTTGTTGGTGTTGGTGTTGTTGTTGCTGTTGTTGTTGTTATTGATGGTGTTGCTGCTGTTGATGTTGTTGTTGTTGGTGCTGTTGTTGGTGGTGATGTTGTTGTTGCTGTTGTTGTTGTTTGTTGTCGTCGTCCCCCCCGCGACCCACCCGCGGCCCAACCCGCGACCCACCCCGCGACCCACCCCGCGACCTACCCCGCGACCCACCCGCGACCCACCCGCGACCCAACCCGCGACCCACCCGCGACCCACCTCGCGACCCACCCGCAACCAACCCCGCGACCCACCCGCGACCCACCCCGCGACCCACCCGCGGCCCAACCCGCGACCCATCCGCGACCCACCCGCAACCCACGTGCGATCCACTTGCGACACACCCGCGACCCACCACGCGACCCACCCGCGACCCACACGCGACCGACCCACATTGGTTTGAAGAAAAAATCGGCGCCTGCGGCGGGCTCGTTGTACAATGTGTGAAACTTTGGCGCCTGCGGCGGTCTTCTGCAGAGTCTCGCAGACTGCCGACGTCCCGACCGCCCCCTCACTCTTATCCGCATCTGCGGGGTGCTCCGCAGATAGAACCATACAAAGAAACATGCACAGTACACAGAAATATGCAGATGTACATATCTGTATAAATATACACATACATACATGCATGCATACGTACATACGTGCATACATACATACATACATACCTGCATGCATGCATGCATGCATGCATGCATACATGCATACATACATGCATACATACATACATACATGTACATGTACATGTACATGTACATGTACATGTACATGTACATCTACATGTACATATACATACAGAGATGTTGATTTGCGCAACTACACATATGCCTATGTATACCTACAGGGAGACACCGATACACCGATATGTGCAAATACACACCACACCCGCATACATACATGCATGCATGTATGTATGCATACATCCATAAGCGTGCAGCTGTTATATGTATACACATAAGCCTTTCGAAACATGTGTGTGCGTGCTGTGTGCGTGAATGCGCGTGGAAAAACATGTCCACCGATGGGTTTACCTATATACATATATATATATGTATGTGCATATAGATGTATACATGTATATTACGCACGTGTTATTAAACCCGCCTTCCCCACTCGGCCACTCCTCCTCCGCCAAAGCATTGCAACATGCGTCCCCTGTTCGTGGTCCTGCTGAAATAATCCCCTGAGTATGTCCATATCCACTGTTTCGCCGTCGCGTCATTGGACCCCCATGGGTGGTGGATGTGACGTCGACTCACCCGTGCGGGTGGGAAGATACCCACGCACGTCTCCACCACTCCTTGGGAACCGTGGGCAGGACTTTAGATGTTCTGTATATGGGCGGTCCTGGGCGGTGGATTGTTCCTCTCTCACACACACGCGCCTATACTACATAGCTGTGGTGTCCTTCGCACCTCCCCAAAAGAGTAGACCTCAGAGGTGATCACTTTTTTAGTGGCGCCACGATTTCAAAGCGGCGCAACCGCGCCCGGAGAACAACGTTGAGATGCAGCGTATTCCGCGCATTCGTGCTGGCACTGCGCAGCGTGGTGCAAGGACACAATATCTCAGCCAAGTGAGGTTATCCTAGAGCAGCCGCGTGAAATCAAGAAACCGATGCTAGCACGTGTCAAGCTATGCGCAGGTGGAAAATGATGCCCCTGTGTTTGCACGGGCCACTGCGCTCAGTGCACTCGTGCCCGCCCCGCTGACTGCAGTACCAGAGAAAAGTAAAAACCGAAAGCGCACAAGTGCGAATTTCGTTGACTCCGTCACTCCTCTCACGCTCCCCCTGCCAACAGGAGGGAAACAGGGAAAGAAGGGGAACCCTGTCGGAGAGCACGTCACCGTCCGAATATTAGGCGGGCATCCTTGCCTGGCTGACGACTGCTTGAATATGGGAAATCCCTACAAGTTCTGGGTGCGGACAGGGGGACGACCCGCTCAGCCTTGCATGTGCAGCAGCGTGCATGTCCAAGAGATATGCTTCCCAATAAACGATTCGGAAATTGCCTAAGAAACGAACGGGAGGATGGCGACGGCGGTCACAATCGCTTTCCGACAATCTGGGCAGATAACCCAGGCGCGAAACTCGTGGTCGCAAAGTCTCGATCTCGCAAGCCCAGGCAAAAGGTCCAACGACGCCCGCGGCGCGCTGAAGTCTCTAGACTGAGACCAGCCCCTGCAATTCCACAACTGCTCGCCATCACCTCTCGACCAACCACGCCAGTCGATCCGTAGACTTGGTCGGCCGCAGGGACGAGTGTCTCACACGCGGCCGAACCACCGTGCCGACGGACCCGACGGCGTGCTGCTTCACAATCGGACAGTATCATTAAAAAACTGTCGCCAGGGCAAGTGCATTCTCGGACTTCCCCTGCTGCGCCCCCTCAGCCCCAACAACCCAAGGCTGAACCAGCACAGAACGAGTGTCCGGGTGCAGCCGGGGCCTGACCAGCCCAATGGCAGGTTATGCTAAGATGTCTCGTTCCACCATCCCTTTACTCTGAGCACCTGACGGCGAAACAACTCCCTCATGATCCACCAGCGCGAACGGTTGCTGCACCGCGGCTTCTCCATTAGGGCGTGAAGAAAGATATCGGCCATGCACTACTGGCTCTCTTGCGCAGCTGGTCTCCTCGCTGCGCATGCATGACCGAGCCGTAAATTTGAACGCGCGCCGCGGTGGCGAGGCCGGAACAACTGGCGCGGCCCCCGCGATGACCTCAGAGATCTTCTGCACGGAGAACTTGCCGATCAGCTTCCGGCGCGCAACCACCACCACTGCCCCGATCGCACCTCTCAAGGCCCGGGGCCTGCCCCAGCCTGCCCCGAGCGAATCTGCACGAACGCTGCCAGGGCCGCGCGAGGCAGCCGGCTCCGCGAGCGCCCCCCTCGCGCGTTCCAGGCCGCCCAACTCTGCGCCGACAGGGGCGCGCGAAGCGCTCGACTCCGCGGACGGCCCCACCTCGCGCGGCAGGCCGCCCAGGTCCTCGGGACGCGGCGCGCGGGCCCTCACGACGCCAATCTTGCGAGAGTACATTGGCTCGTACATTGGCTTGCGAGCGCACGCCGCTCCGAACGTCGGCGGCGCGTAGCGCGAAAGTTTAGCTCCGCACGGCGGCTCCACGCCACCCGCCAATACCGGGTCTTGGAGCCAAGATTAATCGAACGCTGGCACCGCCATCGAAAAAAACAAAGCCCGCGGGGGACATTGCCGGAGCGGCGCGCGGATGGGGCGACGAGACAAGTCAAACTGTTTGCTGGCGCATTAAGTTTGCGCCAAAGGTGATTGAGCCAGAACGGCTTGAGCAATTAAATGCCACGGAAGACTCCAGAAATGATCATGCTGAAGAGCCACCCTCCAAGCTCGCACAGAATTCGTCGCTTGAGTGCACAAGCACGAACTTCCATGATTTGGAAAATATGTGCCAAGCGTTGGTCTAACCGTATATGACGCATGCCCACGGGAATGCTTCTCAACGCGTCGTCGAATCACAAGCTGTGGTAACTTCGTCGGTGGCCTCTCGCTTCTCCTCGTTTTCGATTTGTTCGTTCTCTCTCCCTCTCTCTCTTTCTCTCTCTCTCTCTCTCTCTCTCTCTCTCTCTCTCTCTTTTTCTCTCTTTTTCTCTCTCTCTCTCTCTCTCTCTCTCTCTCTCTCTCTCTCTCTCTCTCTCTCTCTCTCTCTCTCTCTCTCTCTCTCTCTCTCTCTCTTCTCTCTCTCTCTCTCTCTCTCTCTCTCTCTCTCTCTCTCTCTCTCTCTCTCTCTCTCTCTCTCTCTCTCTACGGGGAAAACGAAGAACGGAGGGTCACAGAGGGGGAAAAAGAGAAAGGAACCGATCACTCATCGGGGGAGCTCAACCAAGGCCCATCGTCAACTGTCACACCGTCGAGCCTGGGATGCCAACTCGTGGAACTGCGGTTCCAGGAACGCTTCCCCCCTTGGGCCCCGCCTTGGAGAAGGGGTCTGCATTCGCGGCGCAGTCCGCGCGCATCCGCCGCATGTGTAGCAATTGCAGCGGCAGCGTGCAAAGACACAAGAAGTGCCCGAGCAGTCGAGAAAAACCATCGAGTGCCCGAGGGACTGGAGGCGGGGCCCATCAACCCCGCGGATTCCGACCCCAGGGCCACCTTGGCAACAACCAGGGAGAGGCTTGTGTTTTGCCCTGTATCCTCGGACACAACGTTCACACTGCCAGAACCTGCCTCGCCAGTTCCACTGGTGCGCAACTACATCTCTCTGCTGCTGAGCCTGCTTCGCCAAAGGGGCGCAGCTCAAATCTAAGCGGGGCCACAGAGGGAGAAGCTTCCCAGCCAGGTCGCAAACCAGCCTCGACACAACAAGCTGCTTGGAAAGCTTCTAGATCTGCTCTGGGCCTGGCTGCGGGCGCCTTAAAACCGCAGCGTTGGCCAGCTGGTCGGCCACATCATTGCCCGCCTTATAATATCTGAGCCAGTCTGACATATCAGGGCCACCTACAGCGCACCCTTTCACCTTGACCACCGACTCAAGACCAGTCGGCTGGAGGTTAATAAATGCACCACTGTAAATTCGTGCGTGAGAAAGCTGTTCACTCGAAGGGAGATTAAACTGGTGGACCACGTTCGCACAATTCCAAAACCTCTGGAACCGGGAAGGGCAAACTGTCCCGCGGCAGAAATCGCGATACACTCGGCGGCATGGGGGGGGTTGCGGATCCGGAGCCCACGTAGGGCCGTCGGCAAAACAAACAACTTCACTGTCCTCGCTATAAACCACGAACCCCCAACTCCCCTGGAGAGCTCGCGAACCACATGCATGTAACCACACCCGTCGGTAGAACAAAAAATGGGCCCTTCAGTTCCCCCCCCCCCCCCCCCCCGGCAATTCCACAATAAACCCACCAGCGCCCCATGGGCGAGCACATACATCTCTCGGGTGCTCGAACAACCCCCATCCAAGAATAACAGGTTGGTCTCCGGGCCCCGCGGACACGCCGGGCCGCTCGCCCCAGGGGCGCTTGAAAACTCCCTCACGCCCCTGAGAGCAAGCCGAACAATAATACAACCGATGCTCCAGTGGGCCCCAGCCGTCTTCGCATAGGCTGCAGGCGACACCCCCCAACTGATACTCGCGCTGAACTGCAGCGCCCTTCGCCCACGCGGCATCGAATCACATGGCTTTGACACAGCCAATCTGGAGCGGTCAGAAACGCCCGCTCGCTAAGGCAGCGCGCGCCCGGTCGCAGCAGAGGCGGGCGGCCGCGGGCAGCAACGACTAGGCGCTGTCTCTCTCCAGGGAACTCAGAACCGCGTGGCGGGGCGCCTTCTTGACGAACGCTGGGCCACACAAAGTGAGGAAGACCACGCCTCCGAAATCGTCAAACAACTCCACGAAAGATTTCTTCGCGCTCCAACCGACACGCCCGAGGGAAAAATACATCGACGAAATGGGCCCACCCACGGCCCCCCGGGATTCCTTCGCCAGGTCTTCATCGCCAAACCCCCCCCCCCACACCCCACACACACACCCTTCTCGCAACTGCTGGAAACTCAAGCAGCGAGGGCAAGCCGTTGCACGCACGGCCCACACCTCCTTGGCGCAGCGCACGATCGGGCCCGCCGCAGCGCGACGGCACGGGCCACGCTCGAGTAGAAGCAAGCTCGCGAGGGAGCGCTGCCCAGCGCTGGGTTGACGCGACGCTCCACAGACCCGTCTCGCAGGTGCAGCTCACGGCCCGAGAACCCCCTAATTTCGCCTCCATAAACCACTCCAGGTAAAGGGCCCGAAACAAAAATTCGCCCGGCGAAGCGCCCACAAACTTTCTCGCGCTCCTTCAATATGGCCAGATTCTTCGTCAGGGAGGCGAAGCGGAGCGCGGGTTTCCTAGACCTGCCCGCGCGGGGAAAAAAGAGCGTCACCACCTGAGTCGTCGCAACCCAAGTTAGAAGCAGAATGGCCCAGCGGCCCCGCTAGACCACCGAGAGCATTACGAATGCTCCCCGCGAGCTTAACGGACGAGGCCACGAGAGCAGCCTTGACAGCCGATACTTTGCAGCCTAAGCCATTGATGACGATATCGTAGACCATCCGCGATGCCATAACATTACCCGCGGACACTTCGCTGAGATTTCCTCGGCCTGAAGTCCCACGGTCATCATTGCAGATGTGTAGAGATATGCCACATGGAACGCAACCCATCACCTCATCAATACTGGCAATCACGAGTGCACAAATAAGCGCAGTAGCCATAGAGCAGCCAGCCACAAGACCTCGCCGAGCGCAGTGTGGACCAGCAACCACCCCTCCCACGCTGATGAACCGAGGGCCCTGGCAGAACGCAATGCAAAGCCTAGCCAGCTGCAGCGGAAAGCCCGCCTGCAAGCAGCGTGCGTACAACAGGCTCAAATCAACAAGCTCGAAAATTTTGCATAGGTCCCATAGCAGAGTCGCCGCCGTGGAACCTTTCCTCTCGGCGGTCCCCGAGCGAAATGCCCGGCGCCAGACCGCGTCGGATGCCGAGGCAGAGCTGCCGCCCGCAAAATACTGTCGAGCGTCATCCGCTTCCCACTTGGATGCAAGGCCCCTGCGACAACGGCCCCACAATCTGAAAGCCGAGACAAACATGTCAATGGGGCGACATCCCCTCGCTGGCTTGGCCAGCAACGCGGCAAGAATGGTTCGCAGCTGCTTCGGCGCCACTCCTGGCCACCCCATGATCTGCATCATGGCAATTAGAACAGAGAGGCACTGGTCGCTCAAGCACGCATAGTGTCTCATGTGAAACCCATCCATCGAAATCGCTGCGCGGGAGGCGTAATGGCGGCTCTTCGCTCTCACGAAATCAGCAGAGATCTCAGGCCGGGCATCCATCGGCACGCAGGTCCATCCCCTCGCGAGCGGGATCGACGAAGACTTCCATCGCGACGAACAACGACAAGCCTTCGATTCCAGAAGCGAGAGGGGGTCAGCCAAGACACGTCCTTCGGAAGAAAGCGTAGTCGTCGGTTTCCAAGGTTCGGATCCCTCGATGATCGAGCGCGCCCTCATCTCCTTTATCGATCCTGTCCAAGATGAAACGCCTCCATTCCCGATGGCTTCGAGTCCGATCGGCTGCGACGACCCCCATGGGGCGCGTCGTCGATCCGAGCGAGCACGACATAGCCCTTCTCCCAATCGGACGCGGGCCCCGAGACCATAAAAATCACCGCCTCCGCGAGCTGAACCCAGAAGTCACCCGAGTACTCGGCGACAAACATGGGGGGGGCTGACGGCAAAGACCCAGGATATCCTTACACCGCTGCGATACTGGACCAGCCGCGGCAATCTGCAGGAAGGCGCGAAACTTGGCGACAGCCCACTTAGCAACGCAAACTGAGCCCGATGACTGCCCTGGCTGACTCGGCCCGAGGAGCGGAACCCAGCGGGGGGGCGCATCTTGCCACGGGACCCCTTGCAAGGGAGATCCACTTGCTTGGCATTCATCAGTTCCTTCTCAGCCGTGTCAGCCCAAACCCGATATAGCGAAGTGAGCGCGCTTTCTAGCGGCGCGACTCGCCTGCCTCCACCAGCATAGAAACTCCCTCGCCCTGCTGAGATCTAGCTCGCCGGGCCCCAGGCGGAGCTGGCGCAGGGCCGATAACGCCAACCACTGGCAGCGGCGGCGGCGGCCGAAAGGTAAGCCCCTGCAGAGTGGCAAGGCTGGCGCGAAATCAAGCTCGAACAAGCGAATGCGGCGACGTAGAAGCATCTTGATCAGTTTCCAAATTCATGATGGCCTTCTGGAGGCCTCCCGCAATCCCCCCAGCACCCGTGCAAGTTCCCAGGACATGTCCATGAAAAACCACTTGCCCTTCCAGCCTGGTAGCGACCCCCGAAGCTTCGAACAACTGCGGGGCCACATTGAAACCGCCCCCAAGAATCGCAGGCTCACCAATCGACTCTGCAAACGAGGCGACCCGACAGATGATGGCGACGTTGTCCTCAGGAAGATGCCGGCAACGGTGCAAGATGCAGCTGCAGAGACACGCCGGGCGAGCGTCTCTAACTCCCATGGCTCTCCCTGGGACAATAGACGGGCCTCGGCGATTTCCTGGGAAGTAAGCGCCCAAGAAATCGCGAACCAGGACGCCCACACTTCCTGGGCCCCCCCCCCATCGGCGGGGAGAGCGGGAATCAAAACTGCAATCCACCCTTGACGCTTTGCCCACTTGCTAGCGTCGTTGATGGCATCCTTGATGACAAGATGTTGCTCCTACACCAGCAATACCGCCGCTGATGTCAAAAGTAGCCACGACTTCAGAGAAGACCACGATGTCACGTTCACTGTCTCTACACTCAAGGAAAATGGCTCCTGTCCAGGGGGAGGGGGGACCGAGGGCCCGCCTTCGTCAAAACTCACAGAACCAAAACTCGCAGGAGCGCCAAATCGTGAGAGGGGGGCTCACTGCGGCTACCTAACGACACCTGCGAACAAGAGGCGGGCCACTCACGTGGCGGAAGGGTATTAAACACGAGGCTGCCCCTCTGCGGCGTTGCCTGCGGCTGGCGACGCTGCTTCTTTGCCACCTCCCTTGGACGCCAGCAGCTGCTGGGCCCGTTCACGGAGAGAGGCAGAGGATGCTGAGCCAGCAGAAGGGTTAGCAACTTAAAATGTAAGGCCAGGCCCGCTGGCGGCTGAAGGCCCCACCTGAGCCGCTTTAGCTTCGGGCGGAGTCTCAGCGGGTGCGAGCGAGGCCTTGCCGTCATTACAGTTGCGTTTCTTCTCGGAACGCTGGAGCATTTCGGCGTGCTGCTTCCTGAGGGACCCTGTCTTCGTCCCGAGCTCGCCAAAGAGGGAGCTGCCAATCTCCGGGATGCCTTTGGTGTGCGCCGTTGTTTTCCGTTCGGTCTCCTCCTTCTCCTCATCCGTGAGGTTGCAGCAATCACCAAGACCGAACAACGTGTGGCAAGCCGACTCCATAGATGAAAGGTTCCCATCGACTATGTCCTCCAACGAGATGCCCACGTCCTTGAACGCGTCCTGCTCCTGCTCCGTGGTCGGCTGCTGCTGCTGGCCCACGGCCTGCGCGTGCATCTCCGCGGCCGCCGTCTTGTAGTCCTGCTCCGCGCGATCGAGGTCCTGCAGCACCGTGGAGACTGCCTGCTGCTGGTTGTCGAGTTGGGCCTGGAGCTTCTCCGCGAACGCAAGCTCTCTCCCGAGCCTCTGTTCGCAGCGCCGTCGGCTGCCATCGGCCTCCTGGGCGCGCTGCTGGGCAGAAGGCCCTGGGGCACGGCGCAGGTCCAGCTCCTTCCCGTCCTGCTCGGCGATCTGCTTGTTCCCCGCCTCGCGGAGGAGCGCGATCTCCTGCTCCCGCGCCGCGACGCCGAGCCCTGGGGCAACGCCCACACGGCCTGGCGGGAGTGGAGCCTGGGCGCCGTCGGCGGCCTGGCGCGCGGGCAGCGGAGGGAAGCCGCTGAGCGCCAGCTGCACGCCGCCATCAGCGTCGCGAGGAGCACCACGATGCTGAAAATGCGTCGAAAACGGCGCATTGCGCTTGCACGTACAGCACGAGCAAGCCCGTGTGCTTAACGATTCCTCGGGGCGAGATGGTCCTGACGGCCTCCATGGAGCGTCCGGGAAACCATAGTCCCTAATCCAATACTTGTAGCCATTGGAACGGCTTCCCCTCGCCTGCAATCGCAAGGCGTGGAGGCACCACCTGCGCTCGACTGCGTCCCCCGCTTCCGCGCCGAATTCTCATCACCTCACGGCGGCGTTCCAGACTACGCCGCAACGGTGCCCGTAGGAATGGCTGTCTCGCCACCGCTCGTGCTTACATCCAACAGCTTTTTGGGTGTGCTACTCGGCACCCACGCGCACGCCGCGCACACATGCATATGCACATGTCTGTCCGTATACAGAACGATGGGGGATACCAAACAACACCGACAGAACAACAAACAACCCAAGCATAACATAACAAACAAGCGACCATAACAAAACCGTCAAAAGCACGACGCGAACAAACAGATATTACATTGTATAGCACGACCACATACTCACACACACACACACACATCCCAATTATTCGATATACATTTATATATATGTGTATATATACATATATGGACCAAGGATGAAAAACAGCAGCGGCGGCGGCAGCGGTACGTAAGATTTCCTTCAGCGGGAGGCACTGGGGGGGCGCTGTAGGCTCCGCGCCGCAGACACGGCCAGAGCCTTGGCCGCCTGACTCCGCGCCCTCCGCCGCGCGAATCGCGCGATGCGCGGCCATCTTCGCAAGCCCTGACGGTCCGCACTATGTCATCCAGTCCTGCTTGCTGGATGTTCTGAAGAGCGCTTTATTTCTCAACGCATCCCTGCTTCGAAGCCGCTTGACTACGAGTGCCTTGCAGCTTCGTCGACCCTGCGGCCGCGAAAGGCGCGAAGCGCGCGCGGTGCGCGGCCATCTTCGCAGACCCTCGCGGCCCCAACCGGCGCCTGATGATGACGAACGGACAACACGCACCTATGGGAGGAGGACTGGCTATGGGTATGGGTGCGGGTTGTCGGACCCTGGGGAACGCTCCCGTTCGAGCGGGGACCCCCATCCGACAACACGCACCCATAGCCCTCTCCGATCCCCCTATGGGTGTGGGTGTGTGTTGCTGGTGCGTCATGGAGAAGCTCGGCCCTCGGGGGCACTCCTGGGCCCGATCCCGGCCAGCGCCTCGAGGAGAGCCCGCGTCCCGCCGCGAGGCGGCGGAGGGGCGCGCGCCCCTCGACCTTGCCCCGGGGCCTCGCGCCCTCGCGCGGCGGGCGCCCGCGCGACACGCACGCGGGGAGCGGGGCGCCCGCCATAATCAGCCTCGAACCTATCCCTATCCCTGAGGTTGACACGCCCAAAGACGGTGACAGTCTTAGGGATGCACCCTCAGAAACGGAGGGAATCCCTAAGATCGCCATCGTGATGAGGCGATGCCCAACGTAGGGACAGGGATAGGTTCCAGGCTGGTAACGCCAGCCGCCTCGTCGGTGGCGCCGACGAAGCGGACGTTGGTGCACAGGCTGCCGATGCAGATGTCGTCCTGCACGGCCGCCCCCCGAGAGGCCGCGGGGGGGCGGCAGCGGAGGCAGGGAGGGCGGGTGCCCGACGGGCGGTGCGCGCTGCGCGGCCACCACGCGGGTGGCCCAAAAAGGGGGGTCCAGCCGAAAGGGGGTGGTGCAGCAGAGTTGGGGCAAGTTGTGTTGCAAATGTACTGCGCCGGATAAGTGTATTGCGTTGTACTGCAAGGAATGTGTTGCACGCGAGAATCCAGCAATACATCTGCGCCCCGGAACGTATTGCACGCCCCAGGTGTATTGCAACCTCACAAATCTATTGCACCAAACCTATTGCACCACCCCCTTGTCACTGGACCCCCTTTTGGGTCAACCCGGTGCCAGGCCTGGCGTCACCGACTGGCCTGCTCAGACCCCAGTTTCACCACTCCTCCTCCTCCTCGATCCTCCTCCTCCTCCTCCTCCTCCTCCTCCTCCTCCTCCTCCTCCTCCTCCTCCTCCTCCTCCTCCTCCTCCTCCTCCTCCTCCTCCTCCTCCTCTTCATCCGGTTTCGGGGGGAGGGGCACAGAATTCTCCTACACCCCACGCCCCCACCTCGAGGAGTCGAGTTGTTGGATGTCCTGCTGTCTGGGTCTTGGAGAAGTCCCGTCTGGAGGGCCGAACTAACAAAGGCCGCCTCTGCCAACCCTCCTCATCGCCTTCTTTCCTCCTCCCCCAGTCCCCTCTCTTCCTCTTCCTCTTCCTCTCCCTCCCCTTCTTCACGCCCCCTCCTGCACGCGGTCGGCTCGGACCCAGACTTGGTGCACCCTGTGCCACACCCGACTGGCACGACAACTCCGCAGTCGAACTGCCGCAAGACTGCGCAGAAACCCACAGCTATCCCCCAAAGCCGTCAGGAGACGCGAAGAAACTTCCACGAGAATTCCCACGAGCAGTTGTCCACAAGGACCCCGTGAGGCCCGAGGCGTGTAAAAAACGTAGCCTTATCATCGTCTGTTCCCTCCCAAGAGTTTCTCTGCCTGGGATGGCCCCAGGACGGCCCAAAACGTCGCTCACGAGCACTCAAGCTAGCCCGGGAACCCGCAAAACTCCTCCAGGACCCGACCAGGCGGCCCCCACCTTGCTCTAGCGCGGCGAGTCTCTCAGGACAGCTCGGCAGCAGCATGGGCGCCCAGAGTAGCCCGAAGGCGCCCAGCTTGCCCTCGGAGGTGCCCCCTTGAAAGCCTCCAAGAGCTCCAGAGCACGCAACGCAAGAACCACGCGCGACGTCACGGCAGCGCCACGCTACAGTTAGGTCGGGCATGTCCCCCTAGAGGCCGATTGTGGATGACAAATTCAAAAAAAGTCAAACATTATCCCAGCAAAGCAACCTAACAGCGATGTGTAGAAGCATATCTGAAAGCATTCCCCTTAAGATTCAGATGATAATCCAGTTGTAGAATTCTGCTGTTCTCGCAGTCGTAGTCGCATTCGCGATGACAGTCGCAGCGGCAACGGCAGTCGCAGTCACAGCCTCAGCCTCAGCCTGCCTCAGCCTCAGCCTCAGCCTGCCTCAGCCTCAGCCTGCCTCAGCCTCAGCCTCAGCCTGCTTCAGCCTCAGCCTCAGTCTGCCTTCAGCCTCGGCCTCAGCCTCAGCCTGCCTCAGCCTCAGCCTGCATCAGCCTCAGCCTCAGCCTCAGCCTGCCTCAGCATCAGCCTGCTTCAGCCTCAGCCTCAGCCTACCTCAGCCTCAGCCTCAGTCTGCTTCAGCCTCAGCCTCAGTCTGCCTTCAGCCTCGGCCTCAGCCTCAGCCTGCCTCAGCCTCAGCCTGCCTCGGCCGCAGCATCAGCCTGCCTCAGCATTCAAAATGTGGCCCAGGAATGGAGTTCTGGGAACTAGAAGAACACGAAGTGGCCTACAGTTGGCTCCGGGCATTCAAAATCATGCCCAGGAATGGAGTTCTGGGAACTTGAAGAGCACGAAGTGGCCTACAGTTGGCTCCGGGCATCCAAAATGTGGCCCGGGAATGGAGTTCTGGGAAATCGAAGAGCACGAAGTGGCCTACAGTTGGCTCCGGGCATCCAAAACGTGGCCCGGGAATGGAGTTCTGCGAAGTCGAAGAGCACGAAGTGGCCTACAGTTGACTCCGGGCATCCAAAATGTGGCCCGGGAATGGAGTTCTGGGAGCACCAAGAGCGATTTTGCGGGGATGTCCCAAGCGATTTCGGCTTCGGCGGCAGCCTCCCCGGGTCCCGCCCAGACCCCCCTGAGGAGTCATGATGCTCTCTTTTGAAACCACTAGAAACCTATTAGCAAGAGCTGTTAGGTAATTACGTTACCGAGGAGCCCCACATACTTATTATATCTGGCGTGGTGATAGCTGACGTGAAACTTGCGAGAATGATGCAGGTGGCCGTTGCTTCGCCGATACCGCTGGTGGCGCCGGTCAAGCCTTGGGAGCCTGAGTACCCTGAGGAGTTCCATAGGCCCAGGGAGACCGACCCCCCTGCGCACCCCCTGTGGTGTCGAGGAAATGCCACGCCTGCTGTGCCTGGACGACCGGCGCGCATAGCGGCCGCGGTGAGAGCCCACCCCCTGCGCACCCCCTATGGTGTCGAGAAAATGCCACGCTTGGTGTACTGGGACGACCGTCGCGAATAGCGGCCGCGCTGAAGGACCACCCCCTGCGCACACCCTATGGTGTCGAGAAAATGGCACGCCTGCTGCGCTCTGGACGACCGTGACGGATAGCGGCCGCGGAGAGAGACCATGGTGTCGAGAACAAGTCTCGCCTGCTGTGCCTGGATGACAATGAAGGATAGCGGCCGCGCTGAAGATCCACCCCCTGCGCAACCCTTATGGTGTTGAGAATATGCCACGCCTGCTATGCCCTGGACGACCGTGATAGATAGCGGCCGCGCTGAGGAACCACCCCCTGCGCACCCCCTATGGTGTCGACACTATGCCACGCTTGCTACGCCCTGGACGACCGTGACGGATAGCGGCCGCGCTGAGGAACCACCCCCTGCGCAACCCCTATGGTGTCGAGATTATGCCACGCCTGCTATTCCCTGGACGACCGTGACGGATAGCGGTCGCGCTGACGGACCACCCCCTGCGCAACCCTATGGTGTCGAGAATATGCCACGCCTGCTATGCCCTGGACGACCGTGATAGATAGCGGCCGCGCTGAGGAACCACCCCCTGCGCACCCCCTATGGTGTCGACACTATGCCACGCTTGCTACGCCCTGGACGACCGTGACGGATAGCGGCCGCGCTGAGGAACCACCCCCTGCGCAACCCCTGTGGTGTCGAGGAAATGCCACGCCTGCTGTGCCTGGACGACCGTGACGGATGCGGCCGCGCTGACGGACCACCCCCTGCGCACCGCCTATGGTGTCGAGGATATGCCACGCCTGCTATGCCCTGGACGACCATGACGGATAGCGGCCGCGGTGAGAGACCACCCCCTGCGCACCCCCTATGGTGTTGAGAATATGCCACGCCTGCTACGCCCTTTACGACCGTGACGGATAGCGGCCGCGCTGAGGGACCACCCCGTGCACACACCCGATGGTGTCGAGAATATGCCACGCCTGCTACGCCCCGGACGACCGTGACGGAAAGCGGTCGCGCTGAGGGACCAACCCCTGCGCACCCCCTATGGTGTCGAGAATGTGCAACGCCTGCTATGCCCTGGACGACCGTGACGGATAGCGGCCGCGCTGAGGGACCACCCCCTGCGCACCCCCTTCTGGTGTCACGCCTGCTATGCCCTGGACGAGAAGCGCGCATGGCGGCCGCGCTGCATCTGGATGTGATTTTCATGTGGTTGCCCTGCATGTGGCGCATACGTCGTGGGCGTATGATGCAGTGAACACGCCAGGCGTGCACTGGCGAGCGAGACGGAGAAGCAAAAGGGTGGGGAGGAGGAGAAGAGGAGAAGGAACGCGGGCGCGACGCGGCAGGGAAGAAAACCAGCGCCCCTCTCAGGACGTGGAGAAAAACCACAACCCCACGAAACATGTGGGGAAAAAAGGAGGGGAAGGGGGAGGTGTGTGTAGGAGGAGACGCGGGTGCGACGCGGCAGGGAAGAAAACCAGAACCCCACTGAGCATGTTGGGAAATATTGAAATATGCCGCACAGCAAAAAACAAAAACAACCAAAATGACAAAAAATGAGACCTGACTATGTATAAACTATTTCTGAATACTCCTCCTGTAGAGGGACACGCCCAACTCCATACTTCACGGGCGGTTTCGGAAACCCTAAACCCAGAAGTATCGTCATCTCTTGGGGGGCACATCTGTCACTTCCGCCGCCTTCCGCCGAGCGTCCCCCGGCTTCCGCCGGCGGAGGCGGCCTCGTTTCACTTTCGCCGACCTTCTGCCGCCCTTCCGCCGCCTTCCGCCGAGGAAGAGATGACAACTCCTTCGATCCTCGAAGGCAAGGCCATGTTTGGAACGCCCCACATGTCCTCCCCGGAGGCGCGCGTCCGACCCGAACATGTAGTATACCCATCTTGTAGAATATCGTTTCCCGAGCGGTGTGGCTAGAAAGCGCCCGCCTCGACGCAAATGCTCTGAGATTCCTCGGTGCGCGCGTCGCCCCTGGGGGGGCGACGCACGTGTAGTACAAGTATGTTGGGGTGACGCCGATTGAAATTGTATGGAGCTGTTGCTTATGAAGTTGAACCCTCGAATCCCCCCGATGGGCTCTCGGTGGCGGTCCCTGTCTCTCCTCTGAGCCGCGTGTCTGGAGCTCTCGCCCAGGCCGTCCACGCCATGTGTCTCCAGCTTACCTGCACGCCTTGCCGCGTGGCCTTCGCGGCTGCGTGCCCGGTCTTGCCTGATCGCCCACCTGCGCGCCACGACACTGGGGGGCCCGTGCCAAAAAGGCGTCCCCGTGGCATGGCGAGAAGAGCGACGTCGCGCTCGACCTGGCGATGGTGCTGAGGCTACCTCTCCCCCGCCTCATTGCACGCCCCCCCATTGAAGGCGGCCAGGGGGTCTGAACTGGTTGGGACCCGAGAACATCGGCCAGGAGGGGGGATGAGACCAAATCCGATCGGATCGGTCCCTGGACCTCTCCCGAGATCCACCTGGCGCAAATATTCGCCTGGGTTCCGATTCTTACGGTCCTGGTACCCGAGAATGGCGAGGCCGCAAAAGCAATAATCCGAGCGAAAGATCCAACCATATGCAGTTGTGGGTACCGCGTTGTGGGTACCGACCGCTTTCGATGGAGCACTTTTGCGGGCCACGAAAAGAGTGAAGGGTGTGCCGAGACGGGGGTGGTGGCGCCATGCGGGCGCGACCACTAGGACCTTCGGTGGAGCTCCCAATGGGGTCCCGAAACGTGCGAGGGGTGTGCCGAAACGGGCGTGGTGGTGCCATGCGGCCGCTGCCGATGGGGATTTTGGTGGAGCTCCCTTTGGGGTCCCGAAACGTGTGAGGGGTGTGCCGAAACAGGCGCGGTGGTGCCATGCGGGCGCTGCAACTGGGGTATTCGGTTGAGCTCCCGATGGGGCCACGAAACGTGTCAGGGGTGTGCCGCAACGGGTGTGGTTGTGCCACGCGAGCGCGACCACTGGGGCCTTCGGTGGAGCTCCCTATGGCCCCACGAGGTGTGAGGGTGTGCCGAAACGGGCGTGGTGGTGCCATGCAGGCGCTGCCACTGGGGCTTTAGGTGGAGCCCCCATGGGGCCACGAAACCTGCATAATGTGTGCTGAAACGGGTGCGGTGGTGCCATGCGGGCGCGACCACTGGGACCTTCGGTGGAGCTCCCTCTGGGGCCACGAAACGTGTGAGGGGCGTGCCGAAACGGATGCGGTGGTGCCATGCGGGCGCTACCACTGGGGCCTTCGGTGGAGCTCCTTACGGGGCTACTGAACGTGTGAGGGGTGTGCCAAAACAGAAACATGCGGAGGGCACAGGCCATGTGGCAGGAGGGAGGAGGGAAGAGGGGGAGGTGAGGTACGAAACGCGGGCCGCTCTCGTCAAAACGACGACCCAACACCACAGGATGGTTGGGAAGAAACGCCCTCGAGCCCAACACCTCGAGCCTCGTCCCCCCTTCCTGCGGGCCGGAACCAGTGCTGGGACACCTCAGACCCCCAGCCGACTCCGACCCCCCTATTCTCCTGCACGAAGACACCACTGATCTCGCCCGTGCCGAAGGTGACCGTGATCACGTCCCTGGCGGCACCTCTGCCCGAGGGGACCCCTCGCCGAGGGGACTGGGCGCAGTGGCGCCGAGGGTGAAGCACCGGCCGGCCAGGGGGGGGTGCGGGCAGGCCAAGCGCGGAGCAGAGCTTTCGGCGAAGCCTGCGCTGGGGCGAATGCCGGTCTGCCTCGCTTCGGCTGAGGCGGAAGCTTGCGCTGGGGCGACTTCCGAGGGCCAAGGCTGAACGCATGGCTGATCAGGCTGAAGCCTGTGCGAGGGCTACATGTGGAAAGCCCAGGGTTCGCTAGGTGCTGGCTTCCCCCTGAACGACCAAAACCCTTCGGAAACCCTCCCTAATGTTTCGGTCGTTCGGGGGGGGGGGGGGGCAGTCCCCAACGAACCCTGCGCTTTCCAAAGGCTACATGCCGAGGGCCAGCGCTTGCTGCGCTGTGGCCGAAGCCGATGCTCGCGACAGGGCGGCTGGGTGGGGCCAAGGCTTGCTGCACTGGCGCCGAGGCTGAGGCCGCGGCCTGCGACAGGGCTGCTGCCCCGAGGCCGCGGCGCGCAGCAGGAGGCCTCGCTGCGGCAGCGACGGCGAGCGCCCCGCGCCGGTCGCGGCTCCGCACGGGCTATGCCACGGCTGCGGAACCGTGCGAGGGGCCGCAAACCCCCGGAGGGAGGGGCGGGAGAGGGGGCGAGGCGGCAGGGAGCGGGGGAGCGGAAGGACGGGCGGGGGGAGACGCAGCACAGGGAGAAGAGGGGGGGAGGAGGAGGAGGAGGAGGAGGAGGAGGAGGAGGAGGAGGAGGAGGAGGAGGAGGAGGAGGAGGAGGAGGAGGAGAAGGAGGAGGAGGAGAAGGAGGAGGAGCAGGAAGAGGAGCAGGAGGAGGAGGAGGAGAAGGACGAGGAGGAGGAGAAGAGGGAAGATGGAGGAGGAGGAGGAGGACGGGGAAGAAGAGGAGGAGGAGGAGGAGAAAGAAGAGGAGGAAGAGGAGGAGGAGGAGGAAATAGAGGAGGAGGCGGAGGAGGGAAGATCGAGGATGATGAGCATGAGGATGGAAGAGGAGGAGGCGGAAGAGGAGAAGAGGAAAGAACAAGAAAATATGAAAAGGAGGAGGATCAGAGAAAGGGGGGCCAGAAGGAGAGGCATGAGCAGGGCGGGGGAGGAGGGAGGGGGAAGGAGGACGAGGAGCCAGCAGGAGGCGGAGGTTTTGACCAGGGGGCAGATGAGGGGTGACCTCCACGACTGGTCAAACAACTCACATCGTCACTTGCGAGAGAGAGAGAGAGAGAACGCATTCCGTGGACGCTTGCTTGGAAAAAACCCTGGACACGTCTGAACCGCCTCCACCCCTCCCTCAAACATTCGCAACGCCCAGAGAACCAGGGCGCCCCCATACCCCGGATACCAGCCTCTCTAACGGGGGGGGGCCCTAACGGGAGGGCGGGGGGTTCGAACCGACCCCGACCCCCCCCCCTGCTGAAGCGTGGGGGTGGGTCGAACCAGGAGGGGGGACCATCCTTTCAATAGGACCTTCGGAATGGACGATGAAACCCTAATACAATCCGACCATAAGTGGATCCAACTTGAACTGCATCCCAGTCGGGCTCGATCCATCCCTCACAGAATCCTAGTACAATTGGACCCAACTTGAATTCAGCCCTACGAGGGCTCGATCCAGCTCGAAAAGAATCCGACTATAGCACGAGCCGACTTTAATAGCACCCTAGCGGAACTATAGCCAACTATATCACCTCCAATGGAGCCCAAGTACAGCTGGATCTTTGCGTTGATCCCTACGGAGGCTCGATCCATCTTTGATTACATCCTAGTCGAACTCGGCCCAACTCTAATAGCATCCTAGTCGAATACTGATGATGATGAGGGTGCTGATGATGCGAATGCTGATGATGACGAAATTGGCGTTGTTGATGGTGATTGTGATGATGCTGATAGTGTTGATGATTATGATGATAGGGGATGATGAGGATGCTGCTGATGATGACGACAGTGAGGAGGCGGATGATGGTGAGGACGGTGATGATGGCGATGCTGATAATGGTGATGGTAATGATGCTGCTGGAGCTGGCGATGATGATGATGATGATGATGATGATGATGATGATGATGATGATGATGATGATGATGATGACGATGACGATGACGATGACGATGACGATGATTTATATGTTGATGGTTATGTTGATGTGGTGATGATGATGATTATGATGGTGATGGTGGTGCTGATGATGAATGCTGGTGATGATGATGGTGATGATGATGATGGTGATGATGATGGTGATGGTGATGGTGATGGTGATGATGATGATGATGATGATGATGCTGATGCTGATGCTGATGCTGATGCTGATGCCGATGATGATGATGCTGCTGCTGCTGATGATGATGATGATCATGATGATGATGATGATGATGATGATGATGATGATGATGATGATGATGATGATGATGATGATGATGATGATGATGATGGGGAGCTTCCTGATGCTCCTGCTCCTGCATGGTATGCCCAGAAAGAAACGGAGGAGACAACAAACATAGGATGTGGGGAATCAATTA